CTGCTTCTGCTGTTCTTCTGGCAATTGTCATGGAATTGTTAGATTTTCCCCCCACAGTGTTCAGCAGCCAGGCGCCAGCTTCATGAGGGACAAGAGGCAAAGACCTGGGAATCCATGTTTTGCTCGTGTAGCTCTAGCACGAAGTTCATTGTGGTGGCTCCTGATCTCTGGATCTCAGCTAAGGCAAAAATATGTGCCTGAAGTCAGAGGTTCCAAGGACAGCTTCCTGATTTCTCATCTTCCTGAAGCAGGAGAGATAGCATCTCTCCCAGTGGGGCATATCTGCTGTGATCTGGGAATCATTTCCGAAGGTTCAGTCTGGAGCATGCTCTTCCAGTCCTTCCAACAATTTAAAAAGTATATAAATCCCCCTCAGCTGAAAAAACCGTGGTGCTTTCTCTTTTCTGAAACTGAACTCTGATTGATACAAAATCCAATGGAGAAAGGATATTCAAGAAGAAGGGGATAATCAGAATCACTATATTATATACCTGAAACTAATATAACACTGTACGCTTGTTATATTGGAATTAAAAAAATTTTTTAAAAATAATAAAGGGCTAATCAATAATTCAAAAGCTACCAAAAAGTGAAGATGAGGATTTCATTCATCCATCTATCCATCCATTTCAATTCATTAAAACCGTTATCACTGAGTCCATAATGTGTAGCAGGTACCATGCTGGACATTTGGGATTACTGTACAAAGATGAATAAAACACAGTCTTTCCCTTCAAGCATTCAGTCTAGTAGGGGAAAGAATCATGAACATCAATGGAATAAATTGTGGCAAGCACACTGATGGAGACAGATTCAGGGAGCCAGCATGAGAAAGAAGGAAGGGTACAGAACTTGGAATGAGACTCTGGAAAGAAAGTAGGCTTTTTTTTTTTTTTTTCTTTTTAGGATGCAAAATGGGCATTTTTATTTAAATTCGATTAGCCAGCATATAGTACATTGTTAGTTTTTGATGTAGTGTTCACTGATCCATTAGTTTCATATAATACCCACGCTCATCACATCACATGCCCTCCTTAATACCCATCACCCGGTCACCCCATCCCCCCACTCCCCTCCCTTTTGTAACCCTCAGTTTGTTTCCCAGAGTCCAGAATCTCTCATGGTTTGCCTCCCTCTCTGATTCCTTCCCATTCAGTTTTCCATCCCTTCCCCTGTTGTCCTCTGTGCTATTCCTTATGTTCCACACGATTGAAACCATACGATAACTGTCTTTCCCTGATTGACTTATTTCACTTAGCATGATCCCCTCCTGTTCCATCCATGTCGATGCAAATGGTAGGTATTCATAGAGAAAGTAGGCTTCTTGAAGGAAGTGGAATATTGAAGGATGAGCTTGTTATTTAGCTAATAAACACCAAATGTTTATTATGGGGTGAGCATAGTGCTAAGATCTTTACATTCTAGATTGCGTGTAATCCTCTAAACACTTATATGAGGTTCATGGTATTATCAGCATTTTACAAATGAGGACACTGAAGTTAAGATCTGACTCCAAGTTTTCTGAAGGGCATTCCTTCAGGTCATTCCATGCAGAGGGAACAGCATAAGCAAAGGCAAAGGCGAGAAACACACTGTTGATTCTAGCCAATACCTGAAAGTAGGGCCCATCTCCCAGCCTCTGTGGCAGGATAGGAATCCAACTTCAATAAAACCCCCAGATGGGTTTCACATGGACCAACATCCCCCTTCCAGGTTTTCGTTCATTTTTCACTTTCCCGACTCTGAGCGCGTGCTTAGCCCCCTCATTCTCCTTTTCTTTTTCTTTTTTTTAAAAGAAAGGCAGACTGCCACATGCAGAATTTTTTTTGGATTTGTCTGGAGTCTTAGAAGCTTGACTACCCTACGTTGTCCTACAAATGGACCTTGAGAGCTTGTTTGGAGATTCTTGCAGGGAGCGCAGCTACTCATATACCCTTGGCCAGAGAATGTCCTCCCTTATTGGGAAGGTTGTCCTCTTAGACCAAGTACACAGCTTTGGGAGGGACACACATGGAGCACTGAGGGAGGAAGAGGACATCTGTCTCTAGCCAGCCAGATCGCCCCCTTATTCTCCTTTTAAAATGCCCGGTCACCTCTGCACAAAGCTGGGTGCACTTTACCTGGATTCCCCCCTCCGCCCCATTACAACAGTATATGATTGAATAAAATCTGTCCTTTACTACTTTAGTGCCTGGCTTTATTTTTTTTAATTTTTAAATTTTTTATTTATTTGACAGAGAGAGACACAGCGAGAGAGGGAACACAAGCAGGGGCAGTGGGAGAGGGAGAAGCAGGGTTCCTGCGGAGCAGAGAGCCTGATGCGGGGCTCGATCCGAGGACCCTGGGATCATGACCTGAGCCGAAGGCAGACGCCCAACGACTGAGCCACTCAGGCGCCCCAGCAATTTAATTTTTAAAAGTACTTGATAATATTGAGTTTAGCCTGTTGTTAGAAAGGTTGTCTATTAGATTTTTAAAAAAGATTCTTGCAGAAAATGCTACAAATTCAGTACTCCAACTCCCCCAGAACTTGGCAGTCATAGCGCAGACCGTGCTGTGGGGGTTCGGAGAGGCTTCGAGGACTGTGAAGAAGAGCAGGGTGTTCAAAAACATGTCGAGACCTCACTAAGAAGAATCTGGGACATAGGTGCGAAGGTGAGGAAACAGAATTCAACAGCTGGGAACCACCCGCCTGAACAGAAACAGCAGGGACAATGATGGAAATGCTTGGGTCATCATGGATGATCGCAGGCTTGGATCCACCCAGAAATTAAAGCACATTTACTGTTCATTCATACATGGTTAGAACTGAATTATGCTGAGAATATTTTTCACTGACCGGTGTGACAAAACGAGAATGAGAACACCAGAGTGGGTTTTCCAAGTTACGTTTATTCACCTATTTACGAACAAGAGCTGTGTTTTTACTTTCTAGGAAATAAAATGTTTTATAAAATCATGCTAATAGACCTTAGCATCACCTCAGTTTTGGTTTCCTTGGAAGCAGACCCTATAGCACGGATGGAGTAGAAGTAGTTTATCTGGATGGTAAAGGGAGCTCCTTGAAGGGAATGGAGACAGGAGACAAGGAAGGAAAGACAACCAAAGAATGGAGTGTTATCGAGCCAGCTACCATGGAAACAGCTTAATCCAGTGAGGAAAAGGTACATACCTTGTCCCAGAGTGTCCTCAGATGTGTGGCCTGACGCATGGGCCACTGAGAGTGGCCTTGAGAGTGGTTTTATTTTTACTGTTCTTACCCTGGCAAAATTGAGGAGGTCAGTCACTGATGTCAGTTCCCCACTTACCTTTTCCAACCCTCCCCCAATTAAATCCCAACATCCAAAAGCCTGGGACACTGACATTCCAGCTGGAGAGCCTGTCGGTTGGCAACATCAGTCACGGCACCGGACAGGTGCAGCTCAGGGCGAAGAGGCAAATTCCCGTCAACAGCCCCCCACCCCCTGCCCCGAGAAGGAATGAGCAATGGAACACACCAAGGGATGCCCTTCCTGACCTTCAAATCTGACAAGGGCCTCCAAATTCTTACCTTCCAAATCCACCTCTTCTCTGGCACCTTTTGGTCAGGCGGCTCCACGTGGGGAGGAAAAGGAGTCGTTAGATAAGGTCTGAACATGATGTGCTTAGCTCTCGAGCTCCCCGCACAGCTCTACAAACTTCCTGTGCTCCAGGCTCTGCAAGCACTTCCTGGGGGTTGCCCAACTTTGACAGCAGCTTCCGGAGGAATATTTAATCATTCCTGGCTTCGCAGCCAACAAGACCGGTCTAATTGTGCAGAGGATGTCAAGAAGTGCCTCCGTGTATATATAAGAATATGAAGTGGGGGGCGCCTGGGTGGCTCAGGTGGTTAAGCGTCTGCCTTCGGCTCAGGTCATGATCCCAGGGTCTTGGGATCAAGCCCCGCATCGGGCTCCCTGCTAGGCGGGGAGCCTGCTTCTCTCCCTCTGCCTCTGCCTCTCTCTGACTTTCATGAATAAAAAAAAAAAAAAAAAAAGAATATGAAGTGGGCGCCTGGGTGGCTCAGGTGGTTAAGCGTCTGCCTTCGGCTCAGGTCATGATCCCAGGGTCCTGGGATCGAGCCCCACATCGGGCTCCCTGCTCAGCAGGAAGCCTGCTTCTCCCTCTCCCACTCCCCCTGCTTGTGTTCTCTCTCTCGCCATCTTTCTCTGTCAAATAAATAAATAAAAAATCTTAAAAAAAAAAAAAAGAATATGAAGTAACAATGTAATTCTTGTTGGAAAGAAAACATTGTGGGAGGGGCGGAGGAAGGAGGGAAAATTATGAAATTAAATAGTAAATCGTCACAACTCAAAAATGGTTAGAAACTCCAAAGATGTTATACTGTTCTAGACAAATGAATCCTCATCTGTTTAGCTTGCGTGGTGTAACACTTGGAACAGGCAACTTATTAAAAAAAACATAGTGGCGGGGCGCCTGGGTGGCTCAGTCATTAGGCGTCTGCCTTCAGCTCAGGTCATGGTCCCAGGGTCCTGAGATTGAGCCCCGCATCGGGCTCCCTGCTCGGTGGGAAGCCTGCTTCTCCCTCTCCCACTCCCCCTGCTTGTGTTCCCTCTCTCGCTGTCTCTCTCTGTCAAATAAATAAAATCTTTAAAAATAAAGACCAAAACACTTAATATCTACTGGACAATTACCATGTGTCAGAAACTTACATTTACTCTTAATCCTTGATAACCACTAAGACAACCCAATGAGATGGGCACTGTTCTCCCACATACAGGTTAAGAAATCCAGACCCCGAGCACACAGGCAACTTACCAAGCCTCATGCTGCCCATCATTGCAGACCTGGTCTTCAGACCTATTGTAATATCAGGTGTTGGCTCTTTCCCATTCCTCTATCACTTTCGACATTAGGTCCCTTCTTACCCTTTCCTTTCAGTCTTCTGTAAGGTGTTAGAGAGCCACTAATTCAAAAGTGGTCGTCAGTACCACTACTTTTTTCGTGTATATTTTTAAACAGGAATCAAAATGTTTTTCTCTTTTGAATGTTACCAATCTTGGCATTAATTACTAAAAGTACTTTTGACTTCTAAAATTGTACTCAACATAAAAACCCAAGTAATAGTCACCAAGGGAATAGTTACTAATGAAATATTTTATTTGTAGTAATTTAAAATTGCACCTTCTGTTCACATGCTGATCCTTTTCTGTCTCTTCTTGCAAGGTCTTTGGAGTTTCTCCCCCAAACTAATGAGGTACCAAAGGATGTAACAAAATGACAATCTTGAGTACTTCTGAGCGGGCTTAGGTGTCTGCTGAGTAAAAACAGGAATTGGGTGGGGAATTAGGTGGGGGGCATGAAATTTTTTCAAAGAGCATCTTTAGAAGTTTTTTAATTGCTTTTTGTAACTTGATCCGATAGCCGTCTCATCATGCCTTTTCATGTTCTATGCACAATCGAATGTAGGCCAAGAGTCAAATTTCCATCCATCAAGAAAATGCAAGAGGCACCTGGGTGGTTCACTTGGTGAAGCAGTGGACTTTGGTTCAGGTCATGATCTCAGGGTCCTAGGATCTAGCCCCACATCTGGCTCTGTGCTTAGTGGGGAGTCTGCTTGTCCTTCTGCCCCCCCCCAGCTTGTGCTCTCTCTCTCTCAATAAAATCTTTAAAAAAATGCAAAAGATGGGAGAATTTATTGGTGTCTGTTATATTTTAATATGCAATAATTTAACTCCAAAATGCTTTAGTATCAACTTTGTGATGTACATGTCCATGTAACTTTAGTCTTACCCTGGGGCTAGGTCAGATAGCATTCGAAGGACTCCAATCTGGTGGCTGGGTGCTTTAAATATTGTCATCTAAACCTACACCAGTGTTAATCAGCATAAGGGAGGTTAGTAATTTATTAGTGAATGGAACTTGAAAGGTAAGTGGTTGCCTAGAAAGATAGAGGCAAAATACATCAAACAAGGTATAAGAATATGGCAGATCCTGCAAGTTTAAGACTTTTGATTAGTACTTCAGCTCTAGAGCTGTTTGCTCCTGTGCCATCCTTCCCCCACCCCCAGACATTTAAGATTGCATTGCCTGTTTCAATCGGGTTACTTCTGCCTTCATAGTATTACTGCTTCTGCTTTACTATGAATCTTTTGGTCGAGGTGTCTGTGGGATTATGAGCAGAGAAGGAATTATCCAAGCTTGCGAAAGGCCCTGCTTGCTAATAAGCATAAACATGTTCACGTGCAAGAACTCTGTTTTAGATTTGCTTTTATGGTAATATACCACCAGGGAACGCGGTTAGGCAAGAGGAGACATATGACCTTACCCCTTCCAGGAAAAGCGGGCCACTCTTCTATCAAATGAACTGGTGATTGGTGACTGCATTGGCCTAGACAGTCTACAATGGTGTGACAAAGAAACTAAAAGCCCATCCACCCTCATTCCATGCTGAGGATCATATCTGATCCCTGAGCACTGCCCTTGATGTAGTACCTACTAAAGATCTCTTTATGATCAGCGGGGTGAATACTGACATTTAGGAGCTGGAGAGAAAGCAATCAAGCCATTGTAAAGGTCCAGGTCATCCTCTGGTAATGTTGTTTTTAAAATATAGTTAATTTTACGTGTGCCTGGGTGGCTCAGTCGGTTAAGCATCTGCCTTTGGCTCAGGTCATGATCCCAGGGTCCTGGGATCAAGCCTCTTGTCCTGCTCCCTGCTCAGCAGGGAGTCTGCTTCTCCCTGTCTCTAACCCCTCTCCCTGCTCATGTTCTCTCATGCTCTCTCTGAAATAAATAAAATCTTAAAAAAATAAAATATAGTTAACTTTTTATCACTTTTAATTAAAACTTGATTACTTAGAAGGCTTTCAGTCTGTTAATGATGGCTCAAATTCACAAATATAAATGAAACCAAGAAAACCTAGCCAAAATAGAACTATTGTTCTAAATAAACCTATTCTATATTTCCGTTCAGAGGAAGCTGGGGAAATGTTACTGAGATTGAATGAAGGGCAATTTGAAAACTCAAGACTCAATCGGAGTAAAGTTGTAACATATGAGAAACCTAAAAGTAAAACTATGTCAAACACATTTTTATTTGGTGTTTTGTGCTAGATCGACTTAAACAAATAAAACAACTTTGTTGAACAGATTTTTTTTTAATATGACTATGCGTACATGGACAACTGAGAATAGGGAAAAGCCCCAAATTAATGTTTTCACAAATTACAGCTGTTACTATAGCTTGGATTTTAATAAATGAAGTTTCTCATTCAATATAGATTAACCAATCCCTCTTAATAAAACCAACATATTATACTGCTACACGTTTACCTTTCCAAACACTCCACACACACAAAAAAAGTGTTCCTTCAGAGCCCCCTCTCCTTTAATATTTAGTTATTAGTAGTTTCTAAAATGGTAAAATAAAATTGAATTATATTAGCAAATGAAAGTGCAAGTTTGCACAGCTAAGCTCAGCAGTAAAAGTGAAGAGTGAAAAGTCAGAGCTGATGGGTGCCACGCAGAAGGAGGAGGTTTGTGAAGGGGTCCTGCACGGTGCTCTGTGTGCCAAACACAGTCAACATTCCATCAGGTCTTCTTTGCTCTTAAACGAGCAAAACCAAATTCTTTTTTTATTTAAAGAAATAGTAAATCTTTACTCCCCCCCCCACCCACATAATTTGTGATCAGGTAAGGCAAAGGTAAGTCCCACCATCACTGGGGACAGCAGCAATGTACAGACGTCAGAAATAGCCCTGAATCATCACGAACATTCTCTCATGGTAACATAAGGAATGCATCCAGTAAATCAAAGTTTGCAATGTTGTCACGTTGTTCTAATTTATTTGATTAGTTTATCTGGAAAAACTTTATAAATACATTATTTAAGAGGACAGTCTATTTCCTTGCTCTGAAAAAATAATGTTTCTTTTTCACATTTTAAAACTGTTTAGTATGTTTTTGCAAAAAGAGATGCAAGAATGTGACAGCTGGGTTTGCAGAATGTCCATGTACAAATTGCATTTACAAGAACCTGGTAATCTGCCTACAGTTTGCTTCTACAAATAGAACTCTTTGCAGTAATATTTAAACAGGCTTAATTTAAACACCTCTCCTAGTCACTCTACTTGTAGAACAAAGAGGTACTTATTTTTCAAGTATTACATTGTAAAAGGTAAATTTTTTGTGCCAATTTTATGTTAGCTTTTAAAGACCAACACATTTATATGAAAAATCATGCCTAGTCAGCCCATTTTTTTTTTAATAGCCAAATGATCTCATCTTTTAGAGAATGCAGAAAAATATTGATTTGCTAAGAAGGAGCACACTGGAAAAAGCTGTTTTAAAGTACTGAAGAACAAGGAACATTTTTTTCTCTATTGGCGAAAATTATTAGAAAAGCTATCCAGTCTGTTGTCTTTAGCTGGTTTTAATAAAGTCTTTTCAAAATGATGGCCAAGAAATCTTTAGAAAACTGGACGAGGGGGATGCTCCTTTATAGCATGGAAGGAATTCCATTAATTGTAGAAATTCTTTTTAAATTTCTGCTTTGGTTCTTCAGAAGAAATGCTCATATAACTTCTATATTAGGAGACAGAAAAAAGAACAGATTTAATATTTATCTAACATTTTGTTTCAAGAATACTACGGTAATATCTTACATTTCTAAAACTTTGCCATGCTTTTCTATACATTGTCTTATATAAGAATAGGTGATTTCATCAGAATCTTATATTTTAATGAACTCTACCACTAGCAGGAAAACACATGTCCTTTTCTTTACCTTCAATTTAGGCTATATCATTTACTTTTCTAAATGACATACATTAGTTGTACTCTCCTTGATGTTAGAGACTTACGTTCATTGGTCTTGTATCCTCAGCACCTGAAGCTTCAGGCTCCAAACATATGGCTAAATAAATGTATGTTGAAAAACAGTCATGACCCCCAAAAGAACCCTGACACCGCTTAAGATCACAGACACTTGACTCTGTTCCTACAGAAGTTACAGAAGGGCAGTAACAGTGAGAATGGAATGACAGGTAAATCAAAAGGTGAGTTAAGGCCTGTTATGTGACACAGAAGGTCATCTGGGTGTCCCTCGCCTCTCTGTGAATCTGGAACATGACGAGGTAGGGAGCTGCACCAGGAGTGTTTCCACTAACATACAAATCATCAGATTATTCCCAGAGTCTTAAGAATGAGGACGTCAGACCTGGGACAGGCCGTATAGCTTCCTTCTACAAGAAGGGGATCGTAAAGTGAAGTTAGACTCCCAAGGTCAGTCTATTAGAGAAGGAAAAAAGCCTAGCTTCATTTGGACAGGTGCTTCAACACTGGCTTTTCCAGCCAATTAAAGTGGAAAATAGGAGTTACAAGTTCACAGATGGAAATCTGAAAGACAAAACAACTTGACCACAAATAATTCTGCACGGACTCTGTTTAAACATGCTGAATTTGGCCAGCTCTGTTCATAATAGTATAAAGAGATGCTAGTCTATACATGAAAGTGATCTGCTGGGAAGAGAAACCTGACAGAACTCAAAGAGGTTTGAGAAGAACCAGAGCTGAGATCATTCCACCTAATTCTGAAGACTGATGAGATTGTGCTGTTGAGTTGTTGTGACTCTTGAGTTGATAACTTTTGATGTTGCTCCTTATTTCTCTGGGTCACACAAAGCTATTGTTCTTTTTGCACAAAGACTTCAGGTCAAGGGTGAGTCCCAGAGACGGTATGAGAGAGTCGCTGGTCATTTCAACAACAGCAACAGGCACTCAACAAAGGACAGAAGACCACTGGGTTCATGAATATTCTCCTAGTTCTAAATATGGGTCTCCTTATCTAAATTCTAACGGTCTTATTACATTTAAAAGGGACAACAGTGTATCACCTAAGCTGCTAAACCTGAACGAGAGAAAAATGGGAGAACATGATGGCAGTCTTCATATATCTGAAGAGCTGGGAAAGATGAAACAAACACCAGGGGGCAGAACTAGGCCTGAGGGTCCCTAGGTTATGGTGGGGCATTAAATGCTTTCTTTATATGAAGGATGTTCTGACAGTGCGTGTTTCTGGGCAGTGAGGACTGCTCTGTGAGGAGAAGGTGATGGACATCCAGTGGGTGATGCAGACTGGATTTGCACACCTAGTTGGGGGAATAGGAGGGGCTCTAGAATTTGCCCAATCCAACTCAAAATTCAATTTCTGTGATCCTTATACAATCTTTTCCACGTGGTCCCTGGAAGAACAAAGCTGCCCTAGTCACACTGCACAAGGTTCGTTCCCTTATGTGGTTCCCGAAGGGAGCTCGAGGCAAGCTTACCTGCTGTCTGTTGTGTTTGAACACCATCTACCTGAGGCAGGGGCCCAAGTGTCCCTTCATCATCAAAGGCCAGAATTGGATTCAAAGGAATTTCTGGGCTCTCGCTATTGGCGACATCTAATCTGGATGGTTTAGATCCAATGGGTAAGTTTATAATTTCCTCGAAATTTTCATTCTGAACAGATACTCCATTTTCACTTGGTTGTTTTTCCAAATTGGGAGTACTAGGGAATGTGAAAAATCAAAATTGAAAGGAGTTAGCATTAAAACTGGAAAAAACATTTTTAAAACAACCAAAAACTATTTTGTAATAGTCATTTTAGAATTTTATTTATTTATTTTGAATATTTTATTTATTTGACAGAGAGAGACACAGCGAGAGAGGAAACGCAAGCAGGGGGAGTGGGAGAGGGAGAGGCAGGCTTCCCGCCGAGCAGGGAGCCTGATGCAGGGCTCGACCCCAGGACCCCGGGATCATAACCTGAGCCGAAGGCAGACGCTTAACGACTGAGCCACCCAGGCGCGCCCATTTTAGAATTTTAGAATCAAATGTTAACACTGATTGACCACATCACTCACAAAAGTGGTGAATTTTGACATATTTGCAATTTTACACTTATTTTTAAAAAATCTTTTTGTTATAAAAACTGTATCAAATGGAACAAGTTATCAGTTAGAATAGATCATTATTTTCAACACACATGTAACAGTTTCTACCACAGGCACTTTCACACACCTTTGTTTGATCAACAGCAGCCCTTATTCGGTCCTTTACTTCAAAGATGAGGGGACTGAAATGTGGGGGTATGGGGACAATCTGTAGAGTCACAGAACAACCGAGACAGAGAGTTCAAACTGAATGTGTGCTCTCCTGATCTCCGGCTATGTGTTCTGTTCATTATGCCATTTTGTACAGTACCTGGCTATTCAAATGCTAGCCTTTCCTGGGTACCTCTAGCTTACTAAAACGTGCAAGTTTTTTATAGGTCTATTGTTTAAGACCAACCTTATCTTTACCCCTTAAATCTGCCTCTGACCCCAACTTGCTTCTCATTAATTCATGCTTAATATCTTGGATTTATTTTTGAGGTACATTTAATTGGCCACCAAATCATTAATTTTCCACTTACAGTTTCTCTTAGGTTTTTCCCTCTCTTTAGAAGCTCCGTAACCAAACTGAAAGCCTTTAATATGTTCATTATTATGCTTTACAATGCAGCAGAAAGAATACAAATGAATGCTAGATTCATTTTATCTGAGTGCAGCAGTAAACATGTATTTGCAAGCTTCATATTTTGTTCAGTGCTCAGTTCGTGTATGAAAAAAACCCCTATTTGACAAAATTCTACAGTTAAAATTTTCAAATGGAAAAGACTAACCATATGAAGCAAAAATTGTGAAGGTCTTAATTTCTAATACGTACTGATCATCAATTGAATGTTTAACTATAGGTCTATGGAAAGAGGCTAGAGATCAGAAAATCAGGTCTGTAGTATAATTATAATGCCAACTGCGTGAACTTTAGCAAGTCAATTCATCTTTTTCTGTCTCCTTCCCAAATGGTAACATAAAGCTAATGTACATCCCATTTTTCCATTTGCTTTTTATTTTGAGGAAACTGCTTTTTTACCATTGAAGACATAGTTTACCTAATTCACAAGAAATAATGATTTTCGGGACACATTCTAAAGCATTTCTGATTTAGATATTTTGGTATATTTTTGTTAATTAAAACTTTTCTTGGGCGCCTGCATGGCTCAGTCGGTTAAGCGTCTGCCTTCAGCTCAGGTCATGATTCCAGGGTCCTGGGATCGAGCCCCATGTCAGGCTCTCTCTGCTCAGTGGGGAGCCTGCTTCTCCCTCTCCCTCTGCCTGCCGCTCTGCCTGCTTGTGTGTCTGCACTCTCTCTCTCTCTCTCATTCTCTGTCAAATAAATAAATAAATAAAATCTTAAACTTTTCTTTTAGGAAAAAAAAAAATCTGTCCTAAGTGTCTCACAAGGTATTGCAGAGTACATTGAAAGTACTATTTGTAAAAGTCTGTGAAAAATAACATAAAAACAGTGTACAGAGTATGATGGCGATCTTTTGCTATTTCACCAAGGGGGCTTGGCATCACAGTAGTGATGCAGGAGCGCATGCATGTGCGTGCCTGACACCCGCTGTTCTAAGTGATTGGATCAGCCACCATACCCATCCTCCTGATTCTTTTTTTTTTTTTTTAAGATTTTATTTATTTACTTATTTGAGAGACAGTGAGAGTGTGAAGAGAGATCACGAGCAGGGGGAAGGGATAGAGGGAGAAGCAGACTCCCTGCTGAGCAGGGAGCCTGATGAGGGGCTGGATCCCCAAATCCTGGCATCATGACCTGAGCCGAAGGCAGACGCTTAACCGACTGAGCCACCCAGGTACCCCCCGTCCACCTGGTTCTTTCCCAACACTGATGGGCTCTCTGTAACCAGGGAAACAGTTTTAGTTTTAGTTCTCATCCCAAAGTGATTTTCAGTAGAAGTTTCAGCAAAAGGTAAAGAAGAGGAATGCATCTCCAAGCCCCGTTCCTTGGCCACCTCAACTGCCATCACCTTCTAGGCTTGCATGTGCTAACAAGTTTTTTTTTTTTTTTTTTTTTACTTTTTATTTTTAAGATTTTTTTTTTTTTATTAATTTATTTGAGAGAGAGAATGATATAGAGAGAGAGAGCATGAGACAGGGGAGGGTCAGAGGGAGAAGCAGACTCCCCGCTGAGCAGGGAGCCCGATGCAGGACTCGATCCTGGGACTCCAGGATCATGACCTGAGCCGAAGGCAGTCGCTTAACCAAATGAGCCACCCAGGCGCCCCGAATGTGCTAACAAGTTTTAATGGCCACGCCAACCCAGACTTGAGTCAACAGCTGACTTCATTTTCCCCTCCCACTCCTACCTGACCTCTCCACCCATTCTTACTTGTTAGCAATTAGAGGAATTGTGCTGTATGCTTTGGATGGCCAATTATTAAATGTTCAGAAGATACTGTGACCAGCAGAAACTATAAAACTGAAACTGAAGTCACTGGGGTTAGGGAATATGCATCTGTGTGTCCTCTCAGGGTAAGATCACCAGCTTCTGAGGTCCTTTTCTTTGGCTATACTCTGGCAGCTGAAGCTGGATGCAAGTGTCTTGAAGACTGTGCACTTCGCTTGCTAAAATCTACCTAGAGGGGGCACCTGGCTGGCTCAGTGGGAGAATCATGCAACTCTTGAACTCAGGATCATGAGTTCGAGCCCCATATTGGATGCAGAGATTACTAAAAAATAAAATGAAAAATAAAATTCAATCTACCTGGGTAAGGAGCTGAGACCATGGTGGGAATCTGACAGTCCATACGGCTTACTGTAGCCAGGACCTTATTCTTTCTTGATGTTTGTTATCATGGTATAGCAAGTACCTTTATTGTTTTTTAATTTTTTATTATTTTTTTTTACAAGTAACTTTAAAATTAAGAGTAATACATCTCGGGGCACCTGGGTGGCTCAGTTGGTTAAGCGACTGCCTTCGGCTTGGGTCATGATCCCAGGGTCCTGGGATCGAGCCCCACATCGGGCTCCCTGCTTCGCGGGAAGCCTGCTTCTCCCTTTCCCACTCTCCCCTGCTTGTGTTACCTCTCTCGCTGTCTCTGTCAATTAAATAAATAAAATCTTAAAAAAAAAAAAAGTGATACATCTCTTTCTGTTTGAATGGTAAGGGCTTGGGACTGTTATATTTCCTTTAGGGCAAACTAAAAACAATGATAAACTCCTAAGATTTGAAGGAAAACCACTAGGTCAAAAACCAGAATTACTACATATCCCTTAAGAGTGAAGGATCATTCTCTTAAAAGTGAAGGATCTAGCCTAGGGCATCTTATTAGCAGGGGAGGACAGTAGCCCATGAGAAGTTTTTAGCTTCTAGAACAGATTCTCTGTTGGGGGTGGAAGAATAGATCAGCATGACCTGAGAAACTTAAAATAATGTCTTCCCTCCTACACACCCCATACACACTTGTACGCACACATTCATCTGTGTCCTCTGTTTCTTGTTTCAAAGTAAGTTTCTTATCCACAAATAAACACTCTCCTCCATTCTATGGGCTCCTCCCTCTACAAATACTCATTCTCAAGAACCCAAAATGGTTTTCAGAGTAAGAAATCATCCTGCCCAGGATCATATATTTCTTTGCATCTGCAAAAGCTGGCCAGACTCTTGGTAACTCCAACCCTCTTCAGTCTACCTACTGCCAGTGGGGAGCCTGTTGGGCAAGGAGAATTGCTTTTAGGCTTTAAAAGCATTGCACACCAAAGGTTGAGAACACTAGAAACCACAGGGGCCAGACAGGTCACTCAGGCCCCTCAGGGCTGAAGTCAGGTTCAGGGTGTTCCTGGTGTAGGGTTTCTCTGCACCAGGAACTGCTGCTAGTCCTCACTGCTAGAAAATACCAGGAGGACGCTATCACCCCGGGGTGCTGCCAGGCAGTTTGCTGACATATTCCCAGGGGTGGATGTGGGGAGAATGTCACCCAGCTCATGGCACTCATTTATTTTTCCTGAAAAGAAGGTAAACCAATGTATTAGGTAACTGAGGCATTAGGAAAAGTTCACTTCTCTGATTCTGAACTAAAAGTGTTCATTCTTCGGAGTGGCGTTTTCTAGTGAAAACAAACCCTGCCACGTGCTTACAGCATTCGCTGTGGTAGATTTCCACAGGGGATCACCCATCTCACATTCTCAGAAGGGACGCTGGGGATCTCCAATCAGTGACTTAACTCACAGTAAGTAGGCTGGAAGGATCTATGCCTCTACTCTGGGTGCACGGTAGGGTATTTAATAAACATGTGAACTGATGACGAGGATTATGGAATGCTTCGTTAACCATAATGCACTGAGGTGAAAAACGATGATTTGGTAATTCAAGGTTGACTAGAAACTGGGGGTAAAAGGGAACATCCATGGATGCGATTTATTTGTAACTTTAAAAATCTTTAACAGGGTTTCAGAAGTGAAACTGTTTAAAAATGTGAGTCCCCACTGAAACAAAGGGAATGTGAACAGGAAACTGTTTTAGGGAAGGGTATGAAAGGTTAGTATGAGCAGGTCCTTCTCCAGGTGGAAAGAGTATGAGTGGCAGATAGCCTCAGGGGTCCGTGCTAACAGCAGGGTTATAATAATCTGGAAGATAAGTAGAAGGAAAAATTTAAGTATCCAGATAATGATTATTCTGGGAAATGCAAGTCCTTGAGGATAACAGGAAAAAAAATCTTCAAAATGTAAGCAATGTAAAGGGCAGAGGGGTTTAGAGAACCACTGTAAGCTGAACCATCCTCAAAAGATGAAGTGCTATCAGTGACAATGGACGTAAGAGATCTTGCAATCACTATAGACTGGATCCAGGTGACACTGATTCCTTATGTTTTTATGGTTAAAGACGAGGCCAATAAAATGCACGACAGGAGAAGATGGGATATCAGATACAACATAAAAGCACTTTTCTACATTACACTGCAGCTACACCAGCGTGCTTTGTCTTCTGGACACCGTACCTTAGAAGGATCAAGGTAAAGAACGTCTAATATTTGTCTAGTACAGTTTTCAGAGCTCCTTCACAGACAATACTTCATTGGACCCTCCGGTACCTTGAGGGAAAGACCTCCTCATGTCCAGACGACAAAACTGAATCTTACTTAAGTAGGTTAATCCCAGAGTCGCTGAATTTCTCAGAGATAAAACTAGGAATCCAGCCTGGGACTTCTGGTTCTAAAGCTCTTCTTCCTCAACCCCACGCTTGTGCTGAAAAATCTCTAGAAAATAGGACTCAAATGACAAAGAGCTGGAGAAGGAGCCTTTTTAGAGGCAAGGTAAACCTGTCAGGTTTGGGGTTTTTTTTGTTTGTTTTGTTTTTTTGCTTCTCAGCTCCAAATTTCATCCTTCAGTCTTGCTCTGAAACTGTATGTGGGCCCTTTAACTAATTTTCCTTTGCCAGCTGGCATGATCTTTAAGCTTCGTCCTTTAAGGCCGCCGGAGAGACACGGCACAAGGAAAAGTCTGCTTCCTGGTTTGGTTGTGCTTGCTCGGCAGGCTCCTGCAGCACACACACTCCCAGCGTCTGGCTCCTGTGTGCGTGAGGCTGCCTCGGCACCCAGCCCCTGCGGCAGGAGGGGCCGCCCCCAGCACCTCCCAGGGCCAACCTGTGGCAGACAGAGTGCCTGTATTGGGACACCTCCCAGTGAAGAGCTCTCCTAAGCATTCCAGAGGGTAGATACTTGGCAAGTTTCTTTCATAAAAGAACTTCTCCACCATCCAGTGGGTCACAGCCATACCCTCTCCCACAGGGTCTGGATGGAAGCCTGGGGAAGGGCACTCTTCCCTGGGGATGGCTCAGGGATGTGGCTGCTCCTTAGACCTGCTAACCCCGTAATCTTGAGTTCTCTTTGCTTCTTACTACCAATCTGTTGTTACTTCCATCCCAAGTAAGAGTTAATTATTCTTGATGTTAAACTTTCTTATTCAAATTCATTTGCCTGGTTTCTCTCTCCCGACTGGACTCTGACTGATAGACAAAGTGTAGGAGGAATACTCGCTTTATAAGATGAAAGCAAAAAGAGGACAGAAACAAAATCTATATAATTACAAAAGGTATGGAAATTGTGAGAAAGGAATAACTAAAACCTAGTTTCTGACAACCATGGGTCCAAACTTTGAAACTGCGAATAAGTAGCTCTAAGAAAAAAAAAAAAAGTGCTTTTTGTTACTGAAGAGATGATGCTAAGTGGAAGTACACATTGTTTCAAGATTGGTGTGGATAAATTCAGGGAAGATAAATTTAGAAATAGAGGGAAGCAGGGTTTCTTATGCTACATATCATAAAACTATGTATCATGCAATGGGGAACAAACTTAACAGCACATTAAACATTCCCTAGAGGCCAGGGTCATTCTGAAATGGATTGTATTTCTCAAAATGCAGTCCAATTCTCTATATGAACTTTTACAAATATATGTTTTCATTCTGATAAAAATTAAAAAAAAAACTCCAATAGAATAGTCTGATCATCTACATGGCTGACTATCATAAAGCTGAGTTTAGTGCTTCATTATATATTAGTATTTCAGAGCACACTGTACCAGCTTATGTGGCAAGGGCTGATGACAAATGAACTAGGCTGAACTGGGTATATAAATATTATGTCAGTGCCAAGTAAAAGCCAAGGGACCTCACGGTACACTGCATGAAAAGAGATTTGAGGTTTGAAGGCAGTTTAAATAGAGAAAAGCAATGGGTGAAATAAGTGATCAGAAATAGAATTTTACCATCTCATTTTACATAGTAAAATTATGTTTTAGGTAATGATTAATTACTTGATGATTTTATCACTGAAAAAAGTCAGCTAATGTAAACTAATGTTATTCATCAGATAAAATTATCAGTGGCTTAATAAACCTGGTCCTTATAATAATGGGGTTCTCTCTATGATACTTTTTATTCTTTCATAAAAGTCTCCTTTTTTTGAAGTCAGTGAATTGAACATCATAAATTATAGCAGTTAGGGATGAATATTTTATTTGAAAATCAAACTAATTAAAAGCATAAAATATCACTTAATATGTATCTTAGGTGATGACAATAAATTTATTTAACATGGTTGAAAGCTTATTAATAAGCTCTCTCTCAGAAAAATTCTTTTCTTTGGTATTACAGTGGGAAAAATAAAAGATTGTACTGTCCTAGAAAGATACCAATGGATGTCTTATGACTATGGACTTCTTAGAATAACTTATCTTTGCATTGCTGCCAATATCATAAAACAATGGGCAGTGTGTGTTTTTAGATTAAGAAAAAAATCAGACTTTAATTCTCTGATGCAGCAAACACTCTGGCATTAGAGACAGGAAAACTCATAAAAGAATTAAGTAAATTAAAAAAAAAGTCACAGGTGAAATTTTTTAACAGTATAACAAATACTTCTAAAAGTTCTCTATGACTGGATTTTTAAGCACAGGTTAGAATTACCCTGATTTTTTATTTTTGAGAGTGTTCTTATGATGCTGTCAATATTAACACCAAAGAAGAGAAAGGCAATCTTTTTCCAACCCATATTTCTTTCTTGTCTGTTGTTAGCAACTGTTTGTTTCTTCAATAAGAAGTCCTACTACCAATATCAGAAATACTGGCATCCAAATTATTTTACTGTAGAACAAACCTGTGACAAACAAGAATATTATGTATGGTGAAAATATGCCACTTAAGGGTGTGAATAAGGTCTAGATCACGTTAAATATATACAAATAAAATGCTTCCCCATAATTTTCTTTAATAGGCACACACAAACCTAACCATCATATTTAAAGACTCAAGAAAAAAAGACATTTTCTCTTTCTCTAACTACAGAATTACTAGCTCTACCAAAAATTAATGAACCCAAATGAAAATGAATCTTAATGTTAAAACTATGAAATTCTGTCAGGCCTAGGAAGTTCTGGTGGGATTAGTGCTTTGCTCTCATGTGTATCAGTAAAAAGGGCCCAGTTGTTTAACTCACCTCTCCACAGTCACTGTCGCTTGGTGTGAGGTGACCGCATGTGGGCTGCTCATTGGTTCTCCATTTCCTGGAGAGTTTGTCATACATGGAAGTGCAGATACCACTGGACACAGCAAAGAAGATGGGACAAACGGTTACTACTACTCTAGTATCGAACCCAAACCCCAGGAGCCAGAATGCCTAGATTTATGTCCTGGCTCTGCTACTTACCGGCTGTGTGACCTTGGGCAGGCCACAGACTCTCTGTGCCTCAGTTTCCTCATGAGTAAGAATACCTACCTCACAGACTCCAGTGAGAATTAAATGTCTTAATATACGCAAAGTACTTAGAACAGTGCCCAGCACAATGTAAGGGTGGAAAGCACTGTTGTTATTATTTTTGCTTGCACTAAATTGACTTTGGGCAAAAAGTATATAATGTTCAAGCCAAAGCAATTGATGAAGATAGCAGTAAGTTGACTTGATCAGGCTGATGGTGAATATCTTCTGAAGGATTCAGAGCAAATCACCATGAACTACCTTAAGTGATAAAAAATAATTTTTAAACTCAGTTTAGTTCTAGTCGCACTTAAAATGATAGGGATTTCCATGAATGGAAGGCCAGTGAATTGTACTTTACTATGCCACCTCGTCATTCAATGCTCAGTGCTGTAGTCCAGCTTAAGCCAACAATATTGATGACAGACTCCAAAATCTAAGCCAGGGTTACTTAAAGTCCTGTAAACCTTCATATAGGTCAGAGTTTCAGGGAAATTTGTGGCAGTTTATGGTTTCAGCTTGACATGAAGGAATAACTGAAAGATAATTCCAAGGAAGTGTTATTTCATAGCCTGGCACAAATTCAGTAAAGCTGCCAGAGGTCCAGAGAGTCTGATAACTGAAGAAGTTATTAATAACTTTATTAAAGGGGCCAAAATTCACAAAGCTGGTAATAGGCAGCCTTGGAGATTTCTGATAGATCTGTAAGCTCACCTGCCTGCCTGCCCTAGAATTCTCTTTCGAGCACTGGCAACACCACTCAGCCCTCAACCACACATGGGACAGGGGGAAAGAGGAATATTTGTTAGACAGATAATCCCTCAAGCCTCTATTTAGCAGTATTAACTCAAACCAGATTTATTATGAGTGTTGATAAACACAGATATGATGACTGGCAAGTTGCACCTTCCCTCTTGCTTTTGTTGATTCTCGGGCTGAGGTACAAAATCGTATTTTGTAATATATATAATTTGTATAATAAATATTGAAAGAATTAATATAAGGGGAACAGCCAGGAAGGGGAAAGATGTAAAAACAAACAAAAAAATAAGGAACCTGGCCATGCATTAACTATAGCAACAGCCCCTCAAAAAACCCCATGTTGGTGCAATTTAAATCCTAAAATGCTCATTCTGATGACTCATGGGGGGTTGTGCCTACGTAAAGTCTTCCTGATTTACAACATTTGTGAAGACAACCTGTTAAAAATGCAATGGGGTTAACAGGCAACCATTAGGGTTATTCTCCAAACAAATATAATTAGGGCATCTTGAAAAAAGCATGAAAAGTTCACTAAAAAGCAATCATGACATAGAGAAACTAGGATAGCCTCTTTTGAAATAAAACCAAATCCCAAGATACCAACATATTACTTTTGAAAACCTCTAGAGTTTACAGAAAAAAATTTTTTTCACATAAATAATTTCATTTGATCTTTAGTCTTGCAAGAAAAAAACAGCAAAGGAAAGTGAGGTATCTCTGGTGCTTTCTTGTCATATTGATATTGCAGATGAGGAAAGAAGAAGAGTGCATGATGAGCTATCTACCAACCACCTGTATGTACAATCATGAAGACTATGTGGGATCACAGGAGAATCATAAGCTTGGACTCCAGCTGTATGAGCTGGGTCTGCCACTTGAGTGAAGAACTCCTCGGGGGAAGGGACCTGGCCTGGCCTGTTCCCACTGAATCCCAGCACCTGCAACAAGGTCTGGCACGTGACAGGTCTCCAAAACTGCTTGCTGACCTCAAGATAAAGCAGTTCTACCTCACAAGGCTGCAGCGGAAATTAAAGAAGAAAATGTATGCAGGAGGTACCTGACACAAAGAGACCATTTAATAAATATTAATTGAATTTGGGTACTAACACACTAAGGTACATTTTATTTCAAGCAAATTTGGTTTAAACACCAAGAAATTAATCATCTCTGTCCAAAGCCTATAGGTATCAACAACTTTCTAATGAAATTTCAACTAATTTCTAATTTTAACTCTATTCTGAAATCAGAAGTTAAAAAGGTATAAATTCTTTTGTGAGAACTGCCATAAATACAAGTTGTCAAAATGTGTTTAGAGTCCTCAAGAGCAAATACAAATACATGCTACTTTAGCAGACAATAAATGATAAATGAAATTTAATTTTATAACACAAATAAAATTCTTCTAATCGTGTGTGTATATATTCAGATGTGTACATCTCTTTCTCTATAGGCATATATCTATATACACATAGATATATACAAACATATATTCACAAATACGGGTATTTGTAATGTAACATGATTTAAAATATTAAAGCACACTATTAGAGTATAAACAAATGTGAAAAAAAATCTGCCAGAAATGTAAGAGTTTTACATAAGGCGAAAATCTGTGGACTAGATGACACACACCTAAGCTTCTGTAAGTCAATGAGTACCTTTTTTTCCCCCAAGTCAATGAATATCTTGATCTCTAGAGACTCAATCCAAAAATTCTATATTTGAATTTGTTTGAATTCACTGAAGTAAATACCTGGTCCTTCAGGGAGAGCTCCCTTGGTTATATCTCCATTTCTCTGATCAACAGGTTTCTACCAAAAAAAAGAAAAAAGAAAAAAAGATTTTTTAATGTTAAAGTGAAAGTAAAGAAAAAAAAGCTATTAAGAATAGTTTAAAAATGGCACCTCAGTACCTTATCTGTAGCTTCTGTTCTCCTGGTTCTTTTCATAATCTCCTCGAGTCGCTACAAGAAAGGGAGAATTGAGCAAAGGGGTCAGAGAGGGAAAGAAGGCGAGCCTGGCACATTTCACTGACTAAGCAAATGGGTCATCCAAACACGTCTGTCACTGTGGGCAATTATAATACCCACTGCGTCAACTTAATTGGCATTATTCACATCAAGCTGGAACTGACTTAAGCCACACGAATCGGAAGGAACTGTTTTTGGTGGGGGCCGCACTACGAAGACAGATTTCTTTGGACGAGATGATTAATATTGGGAGCTACTTTAGTTAATCTGGAACGGGCAGCACGCATTTGCTTTCTGAGAGCGGTGAGCTAGTCTCCTGGGCTTGGGCTTCAGGTCTGGGGAAGAAGGAACAATTCGCATCCCCGGCTCTGTTCTAGACGGGGTCACCTTTTTCCTTTCCAGGCGCTCCTGCTCTTCTCTCTGGAAATGCTTCTCTCGCTCCTGCCGAACCCTCTCGGCTTCCTCACGAAGGCGAGCTTCTTCTTCCTTCTGGAAACAAGAAGTGGGCCAGTGCTTCAGGCCGGCAGGGCCTCGGGCCGCCCGCATCCATCCGGGCGCCCGGAGGCGGAGGCTCGGGGGTCCACGGGGCAGGTGCGGGATGCGAGCGCGCGCGTGCGCACACGAGGCGCGGGGGCCTTGTCTCCGCGCGCGCGCGCACACGGGGCGCGGGGGGGGGCCTTGTCTCCGCGCGCGTGCGCACACGAGGCGCGGGGGGGGGGGCCTTGTCTCCGCGCGCGTGCGCACACGAGGCGCGGGGCCTTGACTCCGCGCGCCGTGCGCTGGGCGCTCTCCTCCGCTCTGAGCGGGCCTGGCCCCGGCCGGGCGGGCCCCTACCTGCTTCTGGGCGCGCTCCTGGTCCTCGCGCTCGCGCCGCTCCCGCTCCTCCGCCTGCCGCCGCAGCTGCTCTTCCCTCTCCCGGGCCTGCTCAGCCTCCAGCCGGCGGGATTCCTCCTCCCGCCGAGCCCGCTCCTCCGCCACCTTCTGCGCCAGCTCCTCTCTCTTTTGTCTGGAAAATGACACACACAAAGCAGAGATACACTGGGGGGGAGACGACTCCCTGAAGAGAGCCTAGAGTTTGTGGTTGCGGCCTGGGCAGTCTGTTCTGAGGAAAATCTCCGTGGGACACGCTCAGCATGCTTTGGGGACAAAATGAGCAGCCACCCTCTCTTCTTCCTCCTCATTTTCCCAGCCTCACGTTGCCTCGTGGTAAACAGAAGGAAAATGCAACCACTAATATTTTGAGGAGAGCTTGTTTTGTGAAAGGATGTGCAATTTAACTATCTTTAAAGGCTAAGACTAGTTTTATCCAATAATGGGACATTTTAGTAATGAATTTGAATACCCCCCCCGCCCCGGAAATCTTTGCAAATTAATAAAGGTTACAATGTTCTGTTGCAGGGCAGGACGAAGACAGACTATGAAAGCTCCCTGCTGTGATCAAGTGTAGGGAATGTCCAAGGTTGCTGCCCAGCACTGGGGCTGCGATCCTCCCCCGAGATGCAGTTCTGCTTGTCTGAAGAACAATGTCCTTGACAAATTGGTTTTATTAGCCGCAGGAGGAGGCCAACTAAGCCAACTGTCCCTAGCATCCTGCCCAGCAGGCCATTATGGGACACTTAACTATCTCACCCAGCTACTCCCTGAGAGTTCTATCTGGAAGAAAACACAAGCTTTTACTATGCAGCTTTAAAATGATTGTTAGAAAGATAACAAGGAACTATGGAGATTAGAAATATGTTCAGTAAAAAAAAAAAATCAGACTGTACAATTGTACCTCTACTGTGGTTAGAATTACATAAACAGATGTCTGTGTATGTGTCCATATTTATGTACGTGTATAAACCCCTACACTGTTCAGAGACCCAAAATCCACTTTGCCAATTACTGAAAACTGGTAAGATTATGGATAGATTTTTTTCTTTCTTTAAAACCTTTCTCCATCAGTGTTGTACTGTCATTAGAGTAAGAAAATGTGATTTAAAAAAATCACTTAGTGGTCAGATGCATGATTCTGAAGCAACTAGTCCATTCACCTTCATCACTACCACCACCTCTTGTCTCTCAGACTAAAGACTTAATCCAAGGTAACCCCAGGATGGCCCTGCTCACTGAGCAACGGTCACTCCTTTACCTTCCCAGCTCTTCCTTCTCCCTCTTCTCTCTTTCCTCCTTCTCTCTCTGCTCTCGGGCCAGCCGCCTCTTCTCAGCTAGCAGCCTCGTGGCCTCTTCTGGGTCGGTGGTGCCTGCGGAGGTCTTGGGAGAAGCGGCGGCAGTCACAGTGTATGGCGAGGCTGGGGCTGACGCTGGGCCTGGGGCTGGGGCTGACGCTGGGGCTGGGACCGGCGCTGGAGCGGGGGCCGATGCTGGGGCTGGGGCTGAAGCAGCTGTACAAACAGGTACAGGGAGAAAACCAGTTGGAAACAAAACCCAAAGAACAAAACAAAAACTAGCATTCCCCACACCCCAGGCCTAGAATTCATCATTATAAAAGAAAAGGGAATGTTTATTACTGTGTGTTCTCACGGTTTCACTGTATTCTATTTGTAACCAAGCAACAGATAACAAAAAGGTGCATGTGTAAGTGAGACATCCAACAAAGCTGACACTCTGTCACCAAGTCTTATTTTTATACAAGTTAATCAGTTAACAACATATATCAAATGTGTACTCAGTATAGAGCCTCACTTTAGGTTCTGTGGGAAGTTATACTCTGAGCAAAAAGAAGATGAGATCTTCCATTTGTCTTTCATTACACTTAAAAAATTCCTTCTCTTTAGTGACTATTCATTACTAGTGGACCAAAGCCTTTCTGTGACCATCCTCAGCGTCCTTGCCATGAGCCCAGATTCAGGCTGGGAAGATGACACCCGATGAAGATGAAGAAGTCCCTTTTTGTCTACCTAGAGCTGTCTCCAGGTCTGAGATAGGAGGAGTCAAGGGCCTCTTCAGGAGCCAGCACTCGTATTCCTTACCCATTTGGGCCTCTGTGGTCTGTCCTGATGCCAAGATGCAAGATGGCAGTACAAGTCCTTTGACCTTATCCACATTCAGGAAATGGCCTAGAGAGCCACTCTACGTGTCCAGGAGTCCCACCTAGATGCTGCGCTGGGAGGTGTGATCTCTGGTATTCTAAACCCTCCTTTCAAGATTAACGCATTTTTCTTTGCCCCCAGGACACTTTTTGGCCTTTCTCTCCTCTCTCTTTCCATGCAAACAAATACTGGACTCTTCTACTGTCTAACAACACTGTCACTTGTCTTGAATTATCTATTCTTTCTCTGTCCCTGCCCACATCTTCAAATTAAGTCTCAAGGAGAAAACTTTTGAATGAAGACAGTTTTCAACAAAAAATATTGAACTCCTAGTTCCAGGTGATTCTAAACTTCTAAAAAGCATCTGGTTTAGCCTGGCAGAGATGAGATCCACTGGGTCTTTTGGAACGAAATCTGACCTCTGTCAAGCACCATAGGCTAGCCGGTGGTCCTTCAACTCCACTATGCACAAGATAACTGGCCATTCTGCATTTTATCTGACAATTCTGCATAGGAATTGACTGATGAGCTTAGTGTCTTTCAGAGTCCCTTGATCCACGACATACCTGGATTCAGTAGGTCTAAGACAGGGCCAGGGCTCTGTACTTTGAAACATTACAGAAGTGGTAAATTAAAACTATTTCCATAAACTCTTTGAAGATCTTTACTCTAAGAGGGCGAGACTAATCCCATTCATTGGAGTATGAGTTGAACGTAGTCCCTTGCTTCTAATGAACAGAATCTGAAGACATTGTGACTTCTGTGTGTATGACTTCTGAGACTAGGCATAAAGGATGTGGCTTCCTCGTGAAGCTCTCTCTCAGATCACACTCTCTGGGGGAAGCCAGCAAGCAAGTCCAGCAGACAGACTGAGGACATCAAGCAACCGTATGGAGAGGTTCATGTGCCATGAAATGGAGCTCAGCCATGTGTGTGCATCATCTTCCAACAACCCAGCTAAGCTGCTTCCAAACTCCTGACCCAAGGATCTGTGTGATATAACTATTATAATAAGCTGCAAAGTTTTAGGCTGATTTGTTACACAGCAGTGACTAATACAAGCAATCCTGAGGCAGGTGCTCTGAACACCACATTTTGTGAAAAACTGGACTCGGTCAATAAAAGTAATCATAAGTCAGACCTGAATTAATATGCTGTGGCTCCAGCGATAGGCTTTTGATTGGTTATTTCTTTCTTTATACGTAAGAAAATCGCACGGAGGAAAAGTTCCCCAAGTTAACCTTGGAGTAAAATTTCTAAGTCCCCCAAGAAGAGCAAACAACCCACACTTCATCACAAGGCAACAGAATCTTACCAGGAGCAGCCTCCGGCTCGGCAGGTGTCCCCTCTTCAACTGTGGCTTCTTCCACCTTCACTAAAGGTGTTCTGCCCTTAAGTGATGGCTCATTGGCAACATTCTGGGGTTCCTTCTCGGGGTCTTTCCTCTCAGGTTCCACTCTGACTTCTCTCTTGACAGGACGGATGTTGCCAGGGGATGGGGGCCGGACCTGAGCAGGGGCATCTTTGACTGATCCGAGAGGCAAGGAGGAGGTTGGCCTGGGTGTGCCAGGCAGATGAGGAAAGGATCTGGATGGCAGCCTGGGCAACACGCAGCAGAAAGAGAATGGGAGCCATCAGAACAGGCTTTGCCAGACCCTTCCTTTCTCCTCCTCTACCACGGGGACTACCATGTGAACGCCAGCACCAGTAAGGAAAAGAAACGAAGATACTGAGCTGGTGTATTTGTTTTTTATGCGGCAAACACAGAAATATTCACTTTAGAGACTCATTCCCATTTCCTTTTTCCTTTCTTACAAGGAAAAATGTTAGTCCCGAAGTCAATGCTAAACAGCATGGAGAGAATGAATAGTTTGCTTTCAGAGAACAGAGGCTACAAATTCTTCCACGTGGGGCAACCCAGCCAACCTCTTAAATTTCGCTTACCAAAGTCGGGAGGGAGCTGGTGATCTTGCTTTGGGATGAGAAGGAGATAGCGCTCTCCGAATGCCAGACGTGGGATGGAACGGTAGGTTTTCTCTGTCCCTCTCTCTTTTATAGCCCTAAGTTCGGAGACACACAATAGTTAGATTTTGCTATGAGTGGGACAGTCCCATTCACAGTATTCGATAGTGGAGATGCAACCCATTGAGTGACTTTTTGGAAAATTTCCAGCCTTTGTCATTTATATCCATTCCACTCTCACAAAAAGCCCTTGTTAGCTCAAAACCTGAATCTTATAACTGAATTAACACCATCTGACACTAATAATAAAGTTCTGGATGTCTGATCTTGAGTTAAATTTGTTAAAAAAAAATACACTTATACTCTTAGAAAGCACCTATACTTACTTTGTGTCTACAATCACCTGGGGCAAAATCTCTCATTGTCTTGTTTAACCCACACAAATATCAAAATAAAAGTCACTTTCATTTCCCCCTTGCCCTCATTTTAATTCTTCAGCATTTTTCTTCCTATGTTGGAAAATACCATACTCAGCCTTTTTTAAATTTATGTGTCTGCTACATCAGACTTAATTCATTTTTTCCCTTTATACTGATACTATATAAATAATTCCTTTCTAGGGGGCGCCTGGGTGGCTCAGTCGTTAAGCATCTGCCTTCGGCTCGGGTCATGGTCCCAGGGTCCTGGGATGGAGCCCCGCATCAGGCTCCCTGCTCCACGGGAAGCCTGCTTCTCCCTCTCCCTCTGTCCCTGCTTGTGTTCCCTCTCTCGCTGTGTCTCTCTCTGTCAAATAAATAAAATCTTTAAAAGAATAATAATAATTCCTTTTTCACCTAATGGTCTTTGAAGGAAGAGTCAGGTTTAAGGTGAAGCATTTTAGCTATTTTCAATCTTCTTTAGGGATAAAACTGAAATGGGAGAGTGGGTCAAAACATCATTCCTTTTCTAACTGCATACTAGAAATTTAGCCAGGGAGGTGATACCTTTTCCAAGTCAAAATGAGCAAACGGGAACCCAGAGTGTTTGGTAATCTATAGTCAACCAAGACAAAAAGACAAAAACAAAAACAACAAACAACAACAACAACAAAAACCGCACAGAGCAAGGAAGACTCATTCTAAGTATCTAAAACGTGCCAACAGTGTCCTGGGATGGGACTGGATACTCTCTGGAAGCACCTGTGTGAGCACCTGTCAGTACCTTACTCTGTGGGACCCTTGCAGGAAAGCAGACTGTGAGAGGCCAAGAGAAGGGACAGAACTTTATCTATTTTATCTAGCCGCAGGGCCAAGAAGCTGGTAGTGTACCCTTTCTCTCTCCTTTCTGCCTGGTGTGAGCATCAACTCCCTTCTACCTTCCTTCCCCTCCACCCCCCACCCCCCCAGCCTTGTTCCCCTTCAGTGTCCCTTGTAATTGCTTCTCTCCACTTCCCTTAGTAGCATCCTAGTGGATGGACTGGGCTAGAGGTGCGGGGAAAACAGGAGTATCAAATAATACTCAGCGTCTTCCCAGAATTTCTAAATAGAACAAACGAAGACTGGGGCAGGAAAGAGCATTATAAGATGTGTGTCAGTTCTCTGTCACTTGTGGCTGCATGACCAGCCTTTGCTCCCATTTCTGGTCCCAGAAGGTGGGAGGTGGGGCCTCAGAATGCAGCTATTGTCCCTGGTGACAGAAGTGGCAGCCAGCATAGGGGACACTTCTGGGCGCGATACTGGGGGCAATTATGTCTCTGGCATATCAGTGCCAGAGCGGAAGCCCGGGGCTCTTCCCAAGGGAAGATGGGCTTAAGCACCTCAAGTAGCTTTTTTTTTCCTTTCTCTCAAAACATTTTACTTTGGCTGAAGTCAAATTCAGGAGACATCTGAATGGGAAAATAAGTCAGGAAGGGCAATTTGTGAAGTGGAGGACAGAGGGATGAATCTCATCATCTGTGTCTTGACAAGACAGGCATCGAGGGAAAGAACCTACAAAGAACTGTATAATCCTTCCTTTTGGATTAAAAAAAAAAAAGTTAAAGTGCTATTGAACCAATTCTTTCTTTCCTAAAACTGCCCTCCCTTTATAATCACCTTAAAGGGGTAGGGAAACAGGCACAGAGGTTTAGAAAAATGTTCGGGACTTGAGACGACATCCTCAGGCAGGTAGATGGTTTTACCCTCTTAGTGTTTTTAGGTGTCTTTTCACTGGTCTTGTCACCCAATCACCTATTTGGGTACCACACATGTAAAGGCATTCTTCATTCTCCCCCCTGATCTGAGTTAATAGTCAGTGGTCTGTACAATAATCTCTCCTATTAACATTTTCCACAAGGTTAACGGGAACACACACGGCAAGGTGCACATGTCAGTGGACACTGTACCAGCAGGACAAGGACTTTGATCTTAATCAGAGCTAGGTTTAGAATACAAATAACGTTCAAGAGAGACAATATAGACCGGTACTCCAAGGCCTGCTGTCCAACAGAACATTCTGTGATGACAGAAATGTTCTACATCTGTGCTGTCCAATAAGCTAGCCACTAGCCACATTTTGGTCATTTGAGTTTAGATCTAAATGAATTAAAATGAAATAAAACTGAAAAGAAAGTTATGAAAACATTTCTATTTATAATAGCATCAAAAAGAATTAAATCCTTAGGAATAAACTTAACCAAGAAGGCAGAAGACTCCTACACTGAACACTAAAAGACATTGCTAAAAGAAATGAAAACATAAACGGGAAGACATTCTGTGTTCACAGACTAGAAGACTTATTGTTAAAATGCTGATACTATCCAAAAGGATCTACAGAGTCAAAACCACCCTATCAAAATCCAGTATCATTTTTTGCAGAAATAGAAAAATCTGTCCTAAAGTCATATGGAACTTCAAGGGACCCTGAATAGACAAAACAATCTTGAAAACAAAGAACAAAGTTGGAGGTCTCCCACTTCCTGATTTCAATATTACAAAGCTACAGTAATCAAAACAGTGTGGTACTGACATAAAGAGAGACATGGAGACCAACGGAGTCAAGAGCCCAGAAATAAATCCTTATGTACATGGTCAAAGGATCCTCAATAAGGGTGCCAAGACCACTCAGCGGGGAAAAAAGACAGTCTCTTCAATAAATGGTGCTGGGAAAACTGGATATCCACATGCCAAAGAATGTAGTTGGACGCTCACCTTACACCGTATACAAAAACTAACTCAAAATGGATTAAAGACCTAAATTTAATGCTTAAAACTATAAAATTCCTGCAAAAAAATGGGGGAAGCTTCATGATGCTGGATTTGTAATCAAGGATTTCTTGGATATGACACCAAAAGCACAGGCAATAAAAGCAAAAATAGGGGCGCCTGGGTGGCTCAGTCGTTAAGCGTCTGCCTTCAGCTCAGGTCATGGTCCCAGGGTCCTGGGATCGAGCCCCGCATCGGGGTCCCTGCTCAGCGGGAAGCCTGCTTCTCCATCTCCCACTCCCCCTGCTTGTGTTCCTGCTCTTGCTATCTCTCTCTCTGTCAAATAAATAAATAAATAAAATCTTTAAAAAAAAAAAAAAGCAAAAATAGACAAACGGACTGCATCAAACTTAAAAACTCCTGTGCATCAAAGGATTCAATCAAAAGAGTAAGAAAGTCAACTACAGAATAAGAGAAATACTTGCAAATCATATATCTGATAAGAGATTAATATCCAGAAAATGTAATATCCAGAATATGTACATATCCTACAATGCAACACAAAAATTAAAATTAAAGATTAAAACAAATTAAAGAATAAGATTAAAAAATGAGCAAAGGACTTGAATAGATATTTCTCCAAAAGAGATGTGTGAATGGCCAACAAACATATAAAAAGATGTTCAACATCACTGATCATTAGAGAAATGCAAATCAAAATTGCAATGAGCGAGCACCTCACACCATTAGGATGGCCACTATAAAATAAACAAAAACCCAGAAAATAACAAGTGTTGGTGAAGGTGTGGAAGAAGTGGAACCCCTCTATACTGTTGGTGGGAATGCAAGTAAAATGGTGCATTTGCTATGGAGAACAGTATGGCAGTCCCTCAAAATATTAGAAAGAAAATTACCACAAAATCCAGCAATCCCACTTCTGGGTATATATCCCAAAGGACTGAAGGCAGGATCTTGAAGAGATATTTGCTACCCGTGTATACAGCAGGACTATTCATAGTGCTATTCATATTCAAGAGGCAGAAGCACCTCAAATGTCCACCAGCAGACGGATGGATTCACAAAATGTGGCATATGTGTACGTGTGTGTTCGTGTGTATATGCATACATACATACAATGGAATATTATTAGCCTTTAAAAGGACAGAAATCCTGTCACATGCTACAGCATGGACAGACAGACCTTAAGGACATTATGCAAAGTGAAATAAGCCAATCACAAAAGGACAAATGCCGTATGATGCCATTTATAGGATGTATCTAAAGTAGTCAAATTCAAAGAAACAGAAAGTAAAATGGTGGGTTGCCAGGGGGTGGGAGAGGAGGAAATGGGGAGTTGTTGTTCAGTGGGGATAGTTTCAGTTTTGCAGGATTTAATTAGTTCTGGGGACAGGCTGCACAACAATGTGAATATACGTAACACTACCGAAATGTACACTTAGAAATAGTTAAGATGGTAAATTTTGTTACATGTTTTTTTACTATAGTTAAACATTTTTTAAAAAGGAAATTAAATTGAAAATTCTGTTTGTCATTCTCACTAGCCACTTTTCAAGTGCTCCATGACCACAGGTCGCTGGTGGCTCAACTGAATTCCACAGGGCAGCTCTGGGGTATAAAAGACTTGTGAGTCACTTCTGGAAATAGGTATTTGCCTAAATATTTGGTAAAGAGGTGAAAAGATGACCAATAAATCAAATACAGGACAAGGGAGGCATCAAAAAAAATTAAAATGGGTAAGAAAGTGGAGCTTCTGAATCATGTGATGACAAATCCCTCCTCTTTAATCTGTTGACCAAGGGTCAGCTCTCATCCTTTCCTCCTGGTGTGTTAGGTTGTGTTTTTATCCACAACAAGATGCTTTTCCTTTGCTAAGTGTTTCTCCCTCTTCAGTAAGTCCCCAACCTTTGGGGGCAAAGCTCTTCTAACTATTGCTTTTTATCCACAGCTAGGCTCTCTGAATCTCATGTGCTAATGATGAACAACTACCCAGCCATCAAAGGTAGTTTCACCTCCAAGCTTCACTTGCAAGACCTCCTTGCGGGGGCCGGAGGTCTGGCTCAATCAGGAATTAAACACTGATTCCTGAAAGCCTGGGGCTTGGAAGAAAACTGCCGAGAGGCAAGGCCATCAAGCTCTCACAATCCTCAAATTATTCTCAAACTAAGCAAAATCCTTTTATGTGTCCACCAGCTTTATAAATCCCAACACTCTGGGAAGTTAAGATTAAAAAAAAAATTGTTCAGCCTTTCATTAAACAGGTCGTGGTATTCCCATGCGAGAGAGGCAATGAGATCTTCTGGTTGACTGGGGAATCCTTTAAGAGAAGACCACACAACCGTATCTACTTCTTTCAACAGATACTAAATAACACACAGTTTGAGGAAGAAAGACTCTTAGAGACACACAAGTTACCTCATTCATTTATGGCATGAAATTAATTATAGGTGAAAACTCATGTTAGCTCAGCCACCTTGCCAGTAATTACAAGTACAAATTATATTCTTTGCTTGCAAAATTTGAGTCTATAACACAGCCCAGGTGCCTTTCAAAAATTCGTTACCTAGCAAATCACTAGTGTTTTCAAAATACTTTGTTCCTATATTGTAGGATTTGGGCCTTGACAGGGATTAGCTAAGCAGACAAAAATTCTTTATTTTGCTTTTTGGTGAACCACAGTCAGAGTTCAGCCAGCTCCTGGATATGGTTTAATAAAATGCAGAGGCAGCCGCGGAGGCCCACACCCCCTTCTGGGGCTGTCTGACTTGCAAACAGGAAAAAGTGTGCTGGCCTGGCCTTTAGTCGTACACAGGCCCCCATATGGTACTTCAACTGCACGCACGCCCTTGAATGGAGAATAGTTTTCATCCTCAAATTCACATTTTTATGGGGAGCCCAACTCCCCAGTGGAGAGGACGCGTGGGGACACCACCCACGTGTGGCACCTCCCACTCTGACACCCCCACGGCAGCCGGGGCTGGTGTCCACCCTGCACAGAAACAGCACAGACCCGCCTGGCCGCTCCCGCCGGCTACTCACCGCGGTGCCGTGAGCCGTCCTTCTTCGCGCCGAGCCCTCCGGTGGCGTTACCAAGAATTTTGGCCGATCCATCAGATTTCTAGAGTGTGCAGCTTTGGAGGGCATGATGTTGATGGGGCTGCAAGATGCTGAACGAGGACAAATGGGGATAACTAGGGTGTAGGTGATTGTTTTACACACAAGAGTGCCAGAAGAGCGGTTGAAGGAAAGCCAAAAGCGGGTTCAGGAAAAGGAGCAAAGCAGAGATAGAGAGAAAAGTGGGGAGAAGAAGTTATTACCTAAAGGTGTCCAGAACCATCATATTCCAACTCTCCTCACAGTCCTATCAGTTTACGGTGTGTCCAAAAAGAAGCCATGTCCAAGTGAAAAATCTAGACTATGTGAGTTCTTTGGCTATTTAAATAGTGATGAAAGATACAGATGTAGCCTAATAATTAAGGAAAGCAATGGGCTTCTATTCCTATGAACTGATGGTTCTGGTAGAACACTACATTAGTGATAGATCATTTTTATATAAGGACTGTTTATAATCAGATTTTTCCTAATTAGCTTTAAGATGGGACAGAAGGTGGAGAGACAGGAAGTAAGCAAGCAGGCAAGCAAGATTGACGCCACCTATTTCAGGAGTAAGGTTCAACAGCCACTAGAAAAAAAGCAACGGGATTTTTACAATGTTAAACAACCAAGTCTTACTAGGTGTTACAGGATAACTAATAATTTCCAGAAACAAATTCTGTAAATGTTTTGTCTATTTAAAGCCAAATCAGATGCATGCCTTCTGGGTTTTCCCAAAAAGCCAAGGCATTTGATGGTTTATTAACAAGCAGTAGAAGGTATGGGGAGATGAGATGTAATCATTTCAAATGCTGAATAGAACATACATATGTTAGAACTGCCAAAAATAAAGTTGAATCGTGAATAGCTTTTACTGTTTTACTCAGGTTGGGATTTTTTAAAAAAATCAGTTTCTGACTATTCACCTTCACAGGAACATTGTCATTAACCAAGTGATTCTGGGCAAAAAATGGGTTTAAGGAAGTTCATATACCACTACACACAAAAAAGTGTGGGTTCTAAGGTTCCAAGGTTCATTTTTCAGATCTCGCCCAGAAATCTTATCCTCCAGCAAAAAAAAAAAAAAAAAAAAAATTAGACAAGTAAACATGACTCCTAGAGGAGAATACTATGTGCTTGGATGATTTTATAAAATGACTTTATGTACCTACTGCCATTGTAGCAAACTTTTAAAAAGACCATTATTTCAGCTAAGTATAATAGTATTTACTAATAAATTAAAAACTTAAAACTTCACAAGGAAAATTAAGAATTTTGGAATTATAGAGTTAAAAATGTTATTTTGGTTTCATTTACAGACAGAAAGTTGATCAGATTGCTTATTTATTTACGTGCTCTCTTATTAAATGATTTGCATTATCTTCTGGTATCGCTAAATGGTCAAGGCAGGGAATGGACTGGATATTGCATTCTCTTTTCCAATCCTCTGAAAACAGAACTATTGCTTCAGGATAAACTAAAACATTTTGCATTCCCCCTCAGTCCTCCTTAAAAGAATATGTGTATCTTAACTTGGGAGTTCACATAAACTTTGCTTCAGACCTTAATGGTGAAGGAAGATTCCTTTTTTTGTGAGAAAGGAGAACCTAGTCTCATTTAGCTTCTTGTGATCACAGGGGAAACTATTTGAAAATAACCCTTTTCAAGCACCACAACAAAGCATTTGCATTTCCCAGACACGAAAGAGTTCAATAATGCAATACTCTTCAAGCCAATCAAATGCATTTAAAGAATAAGATCCTGGCACAAGGTACTTCTGTGGGATTAATGACCAGGAAAGGCACTGACCGCCCAGGGCACAGCCAGAGGCCATTTACCTTGCTCCAGAATCAAGAAACTCTAGACTACAGCCCTGCTCTGAGGCCTGGGTCTGACAGGAAAAAGGAAACACAGAAATAGGAGTTCATTGTCCTCCAGTGGAAAATCATTTCAAGAGTATCTAGGGAGCATTTCCTGAGATGATCATGGGTCTAAGCCAGTCTCATCACCCCTTTGGTTCATTCTTTATTACAGCGCTGAGGTAATATTAAGCAAAGGGAGAAAATATCCTTAAATCTATTGAATGCAGTTTGTACAAAAATCCTCAAATTTAATTGTTCAAGGAACATTGTCTGGCTAAAACGAACACTGTAAATTCTAAGGACATTACGTTTCACGGAATGGGTTGTTGTTGTGAACAGCAACTACTGAAAACCTGAAACCTTTAATCATTTACTGGAATTATCTTGCCCTTCTTTTTTTTTTTTTATCTTGCCCTTCTTAGGGTAAGAGCAATAATATACAGTATTTTGATTTTCCCAGAGTGCTCTTGGTATCCCAAAGTAGTTCTACTAAACATGAAGATTCTTCTATGGAGTGTCCAGTAGAAAGTCTTCTATAATTAATCTCTATTTCCTTCTACTCTTGGTAACAAGTGTGCATTAACTTAACTTGTTCAAGATCTTCTAAATGAACGATATATGAAAAGTGCAGAGAAAAGATAATGTAGTACAGGTGGCTGGAGTATAGCACAGAGAATAGAAAATTTATAAAATAATCATATTAATAACATTTATTGAGGGCCTACTATGTGCAGGTACTAGTCTAAACATTTTATATGTATCAACTCTTTTAACCCTGAGCCGTAATAATCACATGTATTTTAAATGTATTTTTAAAAAAATGGGCGTGGAGGGGCGCCTGGCTGGCTCAGTCATTAAGCGTCTGGCTTTGGCTCAGGTCATGATCCCAGGGTCCTGGGATCAAGCCCCGCATCGGGCTCCCTGCGCAGCGGGAAGCCTGCTTCTCCCTCTCCCATTTCCTCTGCTTATGTTCCCTCTCTCGCTGTGTCTCTCTGTCAAATAAATAAATAAAATCTTAAAAAAAAAAAAAAGGGGGCACGGAGAAGTCGACCCAAAGCAGTGGCCACAAATGAGAGGTAGGAGACTCTTGCAAATTTCAAGTGCTCTTACTGCGTGTTCTGGGAGTTTGCAATCACCAAACACCCTAGGGGTAAGGATGGCTGTTTTGATCTGCTCTTTAACCCTGCTCTGGATGTAGGTCATCCTCTTGCCAATGGCAACCAGATATAAGATGAACTCAAGAGACAACAGTAAAATGGAAAGACAAGGAAGAATAATCGTGGAGAGCAGATGGAAAAAGGAAAAGAGATGAATACAGTGTTTCTGACAAGATAAACATAAGGGATGTTTACATATATAATTTCAAATGGAAAAAAATTAAAACAGTAGTTTTGGTTCATTAAATATAAGCTGTATCAATGCAACAATAAGGTAACAATGATCTAAGGAATGTATTAATGAGAGCGACAACTCAAGTAAAGGCCTATGCATTGCTTCACTGTAAAATTACAGAAATGTATCTATTTGTGAAAAGGAGAATGGGAAAGATGCAAAGTAAAGAACAGCCAGTTAGCAGGTAAAAAGCACCCTGATTGATTACAACAGTGAAGAGAGAATGTGGGAAGATGGGCCGGCAGAGTGGGTGGAGAATGAGCGAATGATGTTGTAAAGGACTGGAGGAGAAGCGAAAAGAATTGACACAAGTTAGTGGTGACAGAAAAAGCAAAGACAGACACTTCTTCAGCTGCGAGGCAGTCATTCAGTATGAAACAACATACGAGGTTGAGATTCCAAAGCATGAGAGCCCTAAATTATTTAGATCCTATGAAACAGGACTAAAAGCAATGTTACAGTTTCTTCAATTAGCTGGACTTGTGGAAAAACTTTCATGACTTGTGTAAGAGCATGACATTCCCAGACAGAAAGTAAACTATCTTGAAATTAGTTGTACTTTCTCCCCTGGAAAAATCTCAGATGCGACGTGACAGCTGACAGGAGAGTTCCTTCACAGAAAACACAAAACGCTGTGGTCCAGCTAATTGAATGCACAACTGTACACAGAGCATCACTCCAGGCACTGAGGGAGGAGGGGGGAAGCACGTTTAAGACCCAGTCCACCAATCAGAATTCTAAGTGGCTCTGGTATAAGTCACTTAGTGTCACCGCACTTGGTTTCCACAAGCAGGTGGTAGGAATGTCTGCACTTGGTTTTTCGACTGCCTCCTGGGGGTATTGTGAGAATTAGGGTTGTTATTAGCTCACTGGACACCAGAGATGAAAAAAAATCATAAAACCACCAAGAATGATTTGCAAAGAGGGCTAATGAACATGAAGAAACTTGCAGAGACAAAGTATTTTTAAAGGGAACTTTATGAAGAGGCTATGTAATTTCCCAAGTGCTAAGACAAGGGCTGCTAGGCTGCTTACAGAGATATACCTCTTGTGCCCAGAGATATTTGGGAAAAACCAAATCAATTCACCACAAAAGAGATGTTGCCAAAAGCTGAAGATGTATCTTTCTTTCCAGCTAGATCTAGGCTCTACACTAACTTCTCATTAAACTAATTGGCTCATTCGGGCAAGCTTTGCATTTCAAAAACATAGAGGAGTTATAACTAATTATAATAACCAGTACTTGGCACATTCTCCATATTTTCAAAGTATGTAACAAAGAAGAAGACTGTAATTAGCCTTCTCCACAGCTCTTAGAGATTTGAGAGGGTACTAATTCCTAGATTACATACGAAAGCCTGGCGTAGGCAGAAGTTGCTAGCCCAAGCCACATCGTGAAACTCTTGCTTAAATCGACCTGGGCTTTGATTTTAGTCTCAAGTCCATCTATCATCAGTATTAAATATTAAATCATGTCTACCTCTGATGGTCTGCTCAGATGCAGGGGCAGAGAGAAAGGCGGGAAGGGGTAGGTTTTTCTGGTGACGTTACAAACACACAGAAGCATCTGAAGCCATCTGATCACAAGGAGGGGCATCCTTTGTCTGCCTGGCATCTGGTGTCCAGATAAGATGCGAAGAGGAAACAGTACCAGGAGCGTGAAACCAACACCAACAGACATTTCCAAAGCCACTGCACCCAGGGAAAGAGAAGCAAACACAATGGGGAAGCCTGAGACATAATTAGATGGACCGGGGTGGCTCAGGTGTGCTTTAAAAGGAGGACTTTACCTCACCAAGAAAGTTGCACTTTGACCGTTTTACCTGTATCTCCAGACAAGGCTGCTGTGCTTTTACTTCTGGCCAGGAACGAATGTGTGGGCGTCAGCAGTCTGTTAACAACGCTGCTCTCCCATGGGCTGAGCTGCAGGCGGCGAGCTAGACGTCACCACATAAGCAAGATGTTAGAGGAATTCTTTCCGGCGGGGGGAGCAGGGGCAAAAGCATCATACTTATTGCTTCCATATGCCAGGCCTTCAAGAGACGAGGCTCTCCAGGGAGGACAGCAGGAATAGGGTCTGGGAGACGGGAACTCTGCCCAGAGAAGGAGCTATTTCATAACGTTGCCTTTCTTCAAGATGTTAAGTTTGTGACGGGCTCTATGTTAGTTTTATGGATGCAGATCTTGCTACCCCCCTTCTTTAGGAGTGAACAGGTAACAAAACAGAGATAGCAACGTCACCGTCAGGTTTGGCATGTAGTTGTACCTATCTGCCCTCATCAGGATGGACAGGGGACTAACGGCACACACCCCAGCCAAGGGGCTTCCTAAGTATCCTGTATAATCAACTCCAACACAGGCTTTGGCAGCGTAACGCAAGACTGCATTTCTATATAAATGCAGACAGAAAGGGTCTCCATTACATTTTGCTAGATGTCCCTGAACTGCTACTTCGTCAACTGGGGGGAAATTAGATCTAATAAAAGGAAAGAGGGCTCATATAAAGTTCTGTCTGGGATTTCCTTTTGACTTTTCCACTCGGCAAGCCAGGTTCCTTCAGGTCCCTGTTTGGCAACAACATAAACATTTTGGTGGAGGATAAGGGTAAAGCTGAAGCAAGACGAAATGAAACAAAAACCAAAATCCAATATAAACTTAATGTGAGAATTTACTAGTGGGTGTGTGAAGATTCCAGAAAATAAATTTAGAATAATGCAGTGAATATAGTCCCAAACTGTACTGGGGCTTGGTGGCAAGACCACTGTTAGGAAATGCATGCTAATTATAAATTAATGACTTCACTTATATTGTTAGCTTCCAGTGGTGGCCTATGAAAATATAGAAGGTACTTTCCAAAAATATCAGGGAAGAAGCTTGCAAAATCCTAAAAGTATCATTAAAGTAAGGTAACCATACATCTCTATTTCAGGGCACACTCCCAAGTCACTGATAAAAGTCTTTAAAACTGTCTAAACCTGACAAGGCCAGTTCTGTTCTGTATCATAAACAGCAGGTGCAAATCCTCTTGCCTCTGGAGCGATTGTTCTCTCAATAACCTTTTATATGTTGTATTTTAAGGAATGACATTTAAACTCTAAAAAACTAGTTTTAGTTAACAGAAGTTATCTGATATTAAATGTTGGTATAGGAAATATCTGCTCCTATTTGAAAGGAACTACCAACCTCCAGTAATTACCTTAATTACCTGACTTTATTTTTTTAAAAGTGGTTATTTTGATCAAGGCTGTGGTGAATTTAAGAATTAGTGAATTATTAGATTTTCTGTTATTAGGAGAGTCTTCAGAGTTAAATCTTATCTGACAGTCGTAAATGGAAGAATTATATAAATATGTATATGTTGTATATATACAATTATACATATATAATAGAGTAACAGTTACACGGCAGAATGACAGCGGAACAAGGGCTGTTATACACTATAATATGGAAGTGTGTGTATGTGAGCACCAACAATGGAATTGAGTGTAAACTACAAGTAGAATACAGTCACACAAGAAAACCAGTGGGGAGGAGTGAGGAGGATGAAATGAAAATCTTCAACAGAACTCTATTTTTTCAAGTAGATGAGAAGGGGAAGAACAGAGGAATGCTTCCTTTCCTTGATAAACTCTGTGGGATGACTGGCTCACAACTGCAGAGATGGTTTACCATTGAGAAGACAGGTCTTTTCTTTTCCCCTGGATTAAGAAGTTCATTAACTTTATTTCTGTGAGTCTTTAAAGCATCAACCCAAGAATTCGCCTCAAATGAAGATTCAAACCCCTCTTTGACTTGTTAGTTTAAAGCAAATCCAAAGAGATTTGTTTTACAGATGTAACAGCGTGAATGAAAGATTTTGCCAGAAGGAACATGTTTCCGCTTCTGCGTTCATTACTATGCCCTGAACGAGAGAGAGAGATCTCTTTCAGAAGATAACTTTTTAGTAAAGGTTAGGACAGGAGAGTTACTTTATTGTCCCCACCACCACCACCTAGAGGCGCCTGATTTTAAGATGACAAGCCTCTGAAGGAAGAGATATTAATTCTCGTGAAACAATATTTAGGATTGATCCTACTTAATCACTTAAAAATGAGATATTGATGATTCCTATAACAGACCATCTGGACCAGGGGAGGCACACAAATATTATAGATATCTGCACTACCCCAATCTTCCATACGCAGGAAATCACTGTTCAGTTTCCGATGGGTGCCATGCAAAAATCAGGCAAGTGTTGCCAGATCCTGGTAGTTCACGAGAAGTAGGAAACCCAAATGTTGTAGGAGAGATTCGATTTTTAGAATGATGGCAGTGAATTCAAATTAAAACAAGAACAAAAAACCCTGTTCCAGTCAAACAGAACCTGCCTGTGATCTAGATTCTAGGGAAATATGTATGGACTAATTTTAAGCAAACGGTAGGCAATTTCATTTCTTGCTTTTTTTTTTTTTGAAATCCTTACCCTTCCTTGAGAAAAATGTGGATAAGTAGGTAGCTTAAGAATATTAAGAAACACACATTTTTAATGCAAAAATTTCCAGTGGTAAAATTCTCTCTATTGCAGCAATTATAAAAATCTTTGGTAATCAGAGGTTTCTTTTAACTCAGGTCATTTTTTCAGTCTGTGTGACACTATATTCAAGTGTGATAATCAAAATATTTAAAAACAAGTAGGGAAGAGGCACAGAGCTAATGGATGCCATGCATTAGCTCTGGAGGACTTGGGGAAGCACAGCTTGGGGAAGTGGGTATTTACCAACTGGTATGGAAATATTTCAGTATTTTTAATAACCAGGAGAGCATTCTGGCTGAATGTCAACCTTGATCGCATCAGAGCCTCAATTTAAGATCAGCTTGAAGGTCTGTGCTATAGGGCTGAGAAAGCTCAGACAATCTAGTAAATGGTGTACACCCTTTAATAGATTTGTCTGTAAAAGCCTCTAATTTAATAATACGATAAGAATGCTTCCTAATTTAATGAAGCATAACCAACTTTTAAAAATAGATAGCAGAGGGCGCCTGGGTGGCTCAGTCGTTAAGCGTCTGCCTTCGGCTCAGGTCATGATCCCAGGGTCCTGGGATCGAGTCCCACATCGGGCTCCCTGCTCCGCGGGAAGCTTGCTTCTCCCTCTCCCAACTCCCCCTGCTTGTGTTCCTACTCTCGCTATGTCTCTCTCTGTCAAATAAATAAATAAAAAATCTTAAAAAAAAAAAAAAAGATAGCAGAAAAATATAAAGAGAGCAGAAAAGAAAATTAAGTTACTTAAATTTATAAATTAGAGAAGTTCAAATTCAGAAGAATTTCTATTCTCATTAAAAGGCCTAGCCCCCTCATGGTCCTACTGAAAGTTTTGTCTAACTTAAAAAAAAAAAAAAAAAAGCTTCCTGGACCACATGGGAGCTCCTGGATGAACTGAATCTTCCTTCGTGGCCAAACTTGACCTGGCCTATTGGATCCAGGAACTGGTGGTTCACAGTTCTTTTGACAAGGGGGCAGAGCAGCAGAACTCCCAAACTTAGTGCTCTTCCTCTGATCCTATTAGTCTAGCTTAGGATTTGATTTGATAGGCCCCATGATTCATGGGGCGGTTTCCTGGACCTGGCTGTTGAACTTCCCTTGATCCTTAACCTCACTCAAAGGAAGAACGTATAAAGTCAGGGTTGATCTAAGGAAGGTAAGAACTGAAGACACAGCGTAACAACAACACAGGTTGGGAGCTGGTGATCTCTGTGCTAGACCCTCTTCTCCAACAATTAGTTTGTAGGCTATTAAATCGGGTCTTTAACCTCTGCAATCATCTCTGGAACTCTGTTACCCCAACTGGAACAGATGAGCCATCCAATAAAACTCCCAGTTTTAAGATCCTATTAAGAATATCCAATCAGATATGATCAGGCAGAATCTTTTAAACAATCCTGTTGCTAGCTGACAAATCACTGTCATCCCATAGAAGGGTGGTAGGATATTGTTTGGTTTATTGCCCATCTACCCCAATTTCAGCTGTGGAACTACAAGAGGCAGTAAGGTCTGACTTCAAAGTATCGTAAAATCCCAATTGTAGTTTGTCTTAGACATAGGTTCACAAAAGTATAAAATTAAAGTGCTGAGTAAGTGATCAAATCCAAAGAAAAGATGAGTAGACAACTGTAAGAACAGCACTCATTTGCTATATTTTATACTAAGGGAATGAGTTTGAAAATAAAGGCTATTTATGAAAGGGATGTTAATTCATAATACTTTTCTCTAACATATAGAAGGCCCCTAATTTGACTACAAGTCTAATATTGATGATTTAGGCAAATTAGTTAAAAAAAAAAAAAGGAATGCTTTAGGTTAAAAGACAAGATTAGGAAATTGTTCAACATTTACTGCTTTAAGAGATTAGTTATTAGTTATAAAATAGCATCAACACGTATAATATTGTACATTACAATGACACAACTTTTACACAATACCAAATATATGAATACACATACACACAGAACATGCACACATTGAATTTTTTTTAAAGACTATAAACACTGAACATTTCCCAGTTTCTAATAAATCATTCAAAATAACCACAGTTTGTTACTTTTAGAGAGTATGTGTTTTTATATTGCACAGTAATTCTTTGGCTTTCTAACTTAAAATCACTTTAAGTTCTGTAAAACCATAGCTTATCTTAAAAACTTGATTTTTCCTTTTATGACATATAAATATGTAAAATAAAACTTTAATTTTATAAATAGCTCAACATTCATGTACTGTAAATCCATGGGATGAGTAAAACTCAAAATTCAAATAAAACATGATATTCTTGAAGTTAGGCCAAATCCCTTAAGAGCAAAATGAATGGACACCAAAAACCAATCACACACACACGCACAAGAGATGCAGTAAGCAAGGTTTGGTTAAATTAGAAATCAAATAGCAAAATGAAATCTACCAACATGAATCATTCAAGATTTTTTAGAAAGTCAAAGCTTGGAATTCCCAAAGTACAGATGAAAAGTCAAAGACAACATGATTGAAGTAAAATAAATGTTCGTAACAAAGATTATTTGCATGGTGGTGGTTAAGTGGGTGATTTCTGGAGCTGTAAACTCATTTACTAAAAAGTTGAGAAGCACCGCTTTCATCACTGCTAAATGCAACCATTCAGCCAAGTTCTAAAATGAGCAAGGTTCTTGTCGCAAGGGTAATGCTGCTCAGCCGTTTATTGCTTTTTTACTCTGAAGTTTTGTTCTTCCTATTTAAGAAACGTAGGGAAAGCAACTTCAGATGCTTATTTTTAGCTGTAAACATCCAGAAAAAAAAAAGCATTAAGTAAATAACAGAACACTTTTTTTTTTGTTTTCCTTTTGACTGTACCTCTATCTGGAGAATTTAGTAAAGTTGCAGATGAAGAGGAGAGCCGCTTGCTAATGACGGGATCAACATGTTTCGAAAGATTCATGGTGGAAACTGACCGCCTGTCTGGATCTAAAACAAATGGAGATAATGCTAATTGACAGCCAGCATGCAGGATTGCAATTTCCTAGTTCACTGAAGGAAGGAAAAACTAGGATTGGATGCTTTCAGCTCTATTACTAGATCTTATGTAATAGCACAGTTTTCTAAGTGGACATTTAAAGGTAACTTAAAGGTTAGAAATAAAATTCATATTTCTCATAGGATAAAATAAATATTTAGTACACCAGTTTGTCAGCCAGGGAAATTCAAGCATTTTGTTATAATACAACAGAAAGATGAAGACCAAGGCCAGTGGAGGGCAACTAAAATAATGGGGCAGACCGTACAGCAAAGAGGAGATTGTAAAAGTGGATGCCCTTAGAATTGCCCCCACTAGGAACAAGCGGGTAGAAATGGGGCTGGTGAAATAGAATGCAAACACTAGAAGAAAAAAAAAAAAGAACTCCAGGTTCTATGCATTGCTGCTACTTTTTCTTGTACAGTCATTTTACCCAGGGCATTAAAGTTCATTACAGAAAAACAGATTAAAAAGAAAGAAGAAAGACTAGGTGTGGAACGGATGGCCACTGTAGAATTTCCTTTTAAAAAGTCTACGAACTACCACACCTCTGCCTATAACACTGAGTTTTGGGTGGTTTACAAATATAGAATCGGCCCACAAATTTGCCCAACAAAACTGACGGCAATAGAAAGAACATCAGAATTCTTTAAGTTTATTAATAATAACTTAAATAATTCCTGTAGGTGAGTAATTTCATAGTAATTCTTAAAGTTCAGCGAGAAGATACACGGCAAAAACTAGCTCCATTAGTTTGCTGTCTGTACGGTGGAACCAAGCTGTAACCAGGCTCATTAGAATAGATCATGTTCCCTGAATAAAACTGCAAAGAATAAAAGTCTAAAAATCTCATTATATTTCTTTAGGAGGGCAAGTGGAGGTTCTGACCTACGACCAAAGTTAAAAGGGTTTTTGCCATATTTTGTTTTCTATTGTTAGCTTCTTCTAAAACTAAAAACAAAAAATAATCCTTGTGGTAGATGCCTTTAAAACCCAGTTCCCATCTGTCTAAGTAACACTGGTAGTCAAAAATTTTATAGTAAACGTCCCTCCATAGAATAACCATTTTTGGCCATTATTTACAGCGTATGGGGGATAAACAAGTCTTCTACCAACATCAGACATTCCTATTTCTACCATTTGTATGGTTGAAGCAACTCAATTATAAAACAAACAAACCCAGACATCAAGCCTGTGACGTCAGTTAACCCTTAACTGATAGGCTCTTGGGGTAATCCTGAAGATTTAGGATAAAATATCAAAAGGAACATCTTAATGATGAAATGTAAGGTCCAGGGGACACAAGGAAGGATAACAAAAGCCATTTCTGGATGATTGACAGCAATACATTTTCTGATCTTGTTTTTGTACGTTAAGCTTCAGTTGGGGGACATCGTGTCTCCATGCAGGCCTACTCTGCATGGTGAAAATGATGGAAGTATAACGTGTATTTATTCTATTACTTAATATAATAAGACCATTTTTAATCGTTTCTTTTTCTTGCTGAACAAAGTACAAATTCACAAAAGGATTTAGGAAGAATCCGTTTAAAAAAATTTCCAAACAAGTGCTAGTTGATGTGTGAGCAGTAAGGCATCACACTGATTTAATCTGGATTAAATTTAATTTCTAAGATCTGTTTTTTGATCAGCAAACACTGAGTGCCCATACTGAGTGAGGCATTTTTATAAATGAGTAAGGCCAGGTCATTGCTCTTTAGATCACAGCAGATCACTGCGACCTTTGAGAATTTTGGCAAAGTCCAGTTACTTTCCAACTTCTCTGTTCTTGTATAACAGCAATTTTTTTCTAATTCACAGCCCTTATAAAAATGGGTATTATCCAAGAGCTAACAAATATAGCACTAGCTTCTCGTGCTCCGAGTGGCAGAAATAAAGGCCATATACTAAACTTTGAATGTGGAAGCAATAAAATAAAGTTATAAAGATATGTACCACGTCAGCTTTTCCTGTACGGAGCGTATATGTAAAACTGCCCCGAGAATAAAATATCACACATAAATAAGCCTTATGATTACAGATTTGCCACGTGCCCCCACCAAGTACCACTGGGTCACTAAGAGCCAAGGGAAAAAACAAAAAGAGTACTTTCAAATACTGTTCAACATCAGAGGAGAGTAAGTTGTGATAATATGCTTTTAGAATTTTTAAAATAAAGAGCTTCTACTGGGCACACTGAATGTTAGGAATGAAAGAGTAGAGCAAACAATAATCCATGGTGTTCTAGATTAAAACTAAGAGCAGAAAACAGACAGGGGTGGGGATGGGGTGGGGTAGGGGAGAGCAAACTGGATGTACTTTGAACCTAGGTAATTTATTAACTAAAAAAGCACTTTTTAAAGGTTTTATCCAAAATCATCACTTAGAAAGTAAACACATCACGTCATTGCATTATTTCAACACCTTCCAGCCACCGGAGTTGTATTGTCGCACTTAAGAAACACTGTGCCACATCCCAGATCTAGGTCTATGCAATGGGATAGTAAGCATGCATTATGCCTAAGGTGGTGATGGTTCAGCTACTGATGGACCGGCCCTAGGTCGGAGGTGCTAGCTACAGGTCAGGCAATCAGCAACCATAGGGATGTCTGTACCAGCTTTTCTAGTACCACCAAGAGTTGTGAGGTGGTGGTCCAGGCCTGCTAAATCGAGAAAGGTGAATGATGATTCAACAAAACCACCTGGGGACAGAATGTAAGACAATGATTTTTCAAAATAAATAATAATAATAAAAAACGTTATTAGACTCACACAGACGAAAAAGAACTGACACACTATATAAAATTCAAAGTGTATTGAATTTACAGTACAAAAATAAAGCCTCTCATTAGGTCCAAATTTCAGTAGGTTTTATGTCCATTCAAGAACGAGGGAATGGCTGCGACATTCGCTGGCTCTAGGTTCAGAACCTGCGCTTTCTCCTGCAGAGCATTAACCCTGCACACGCTTTACGGTCCGAATACGCAAGCTCATGGTATTGATTTCGATCAGTCAATACTGCTATGATTCTTCCAGAGAAGATGATAAAATCGGTTAACTTCTTCCATCATCCTGAAATCTTAATGCAAATGATTACTTAAAATAATGTAGCGTGCAAACTGCATGTTTATTTAGAAACACTGCATAGATTTCTATCTCTTTGAGGGAATTGTGTAACAAAAGAGAAAAGCAGCCTGTGTTAAGGGAGAGAACCTTACCTTCTTACCTCGATCACCCTCTTATCCTCAAACAGTAGGAGCATCATTTATAGTTTAATTATTTCAGCCCATGATTTTTGTTTTGGAAACACATGCTTAGAAGAAAGAAGCAACTGCCCTTTTGCTGTCCAGGAAAAAAGTAGTGATTTTCGAAAGCCATCACGGCTTGTTTACCTGCACTGTGGATGCTGGGGCTCCCATGGAGAGGGCCTCCCCATGACCACCGGTTATGCTTCTGTTTTGGCTTCTGACTCCTTTCCATCGTCCGTCGTACAACAGCTTCATGGCGTTCCTTAAATGGAACAGAGGAACGGATGATTAGATTCAACCTGGTTGTCCGAGGCTTCTTCAACTGAAGGCAGAATGGAGTAAAGGCACTACTGAGATTTTTACCTTAGTACGCCTACCTCCTAACGTTTACACGTCAGCCTGGGAGGGTTACTGAAATCATTAAGTCCCCGTTGATAAAGCCCCTGGTGAACGACAGGTACTTAAATAAGCAACCCTTGTTATTATTACCAGGAACGTGGTACTTTCATCAATTCACAAAAGCATGGTGGTGCAGGTCTTAGCTTGAGCAGATGCTAAACAAATGTGGTACTGTATCTTAAAGAACAATGGAATTTAGTATCTGAGCAGGTGGGTAATCCTGATTCCATGACTTACTGAGCTGTGACTTACTCATTCTGAGTCTACATGTTCTTTTTTGCAGAAACTGATATATAAACACTTAGGGGTTGTGTACACGTTAAATGAGACAATCCATGTGAAAATGTTAAGCGATAAAGCCCCAGAAAAACCCAATTACTTGGGAGTCATCACGATACTTTTCACACAGATGAACGGAACATAAGTAAGTTACAGCTCCAGACCAGAGACCTGGGCTTTTAAAGTTTTTAGGGAAACAATTTTAACAACCACACCATTCGCTACCTGCCCTCCATACCCCAACCTCCCTAGAAGCTGCGGCTATCTATCTATAAAACGGATTACTTAATGTTGCTAGGCAGCCTAGCACCTTAATGGAAGGTTTCACTGTAAATGTGTTGCATTTCTGAAGTAGACAAACCTCCCATTTACTGCCCAGGGCGGCCTCTTACTTTGTCCTCCTCCAGCCTCTGCCTCCGTTTTTCCTCCACAGCAGCCCTCCTCCGCTCCTCCTTCAGCCTCTGTTCTTCCAGTTTCTTCTTCCGCTCTTCCAGATGCTTTTCATAGTGCAGCCGGGCTCGCTCTTCCCGTTCTAACCAGATTATTTCTCTTGCAGCTTCAGGAGGAAAAAACAAGGGAAATCAAGCACAGGCAGGTTCAGAACTTGAATAGGTACTGGGGTGCCTGGGTGGCTCAGTTGGTTAAAAGTCAGGCTCTTGATTTTGGCTCAGGGATGATCTCAGGGCCATGAGATGGAGCCCGCCCCCTGGGTTCTGCCCTGGGCCTGGAGCCTGCTTAAGGTTCTCCCTCTCCCTGTGCCGCGCCCCACCCTGCTTGCACGCACTCGCTCTTAACAGAAAAACATGAAAAGTTGCATAGGTAGGACTGTATCAATGGCCCACAATGAACAAATATGGGTTCTTTGGTTTTGTATTTACCAGGCCTGGCCTAAAAGACGTGGAAATTGATTTTCAAGATTTGTTTTTCAGTTTTGAGGAAAAAATACCACTGTTAAGTTTTTTTTTTTTTTTAAGATTTTATTTATTTATTTGAGAGAGAGAGAATGAGAGAGACAGAGAGCACATGAGAGGGGGGAGGGTCAGAGGGAGAAGCAGACTCCCTGCCGAGCAGGGAGCCCGATGCGGGACTCGATCCCGGGACTCCAGGATCATGACCTGAGCCGAGGGCAGTCGCTTAACCAACTGAGCCACCCAGGCGCCCACCACTGTTAATTTCTAGCATAATTTTAATATGCTAACAATGAGGTCGAAGAAGAGGCACTGAATTCCATTCTTTGGGAATCCCTACAGTCCTCTAGTTTGGTGTGTTATCCTGATACGATGCCCTCAAAACCAACAGTACTGTTCGTCTCTCTTTTATCCTCCCCGTCAAAAGCCTGAGACTACAGTTGTTTCGACATAGCACTGGTTCTCTGAAAGTATTAAAAGAATTTGGGAGAAAATCCCCAGAATTGATAGTTGCTAAAAGATTGTATTAAATGCCTTACAGATTTATCACACCGAATCAGCTAAGTCATGTGAGAGACTAAAGAAGCAGTTCTTGTGTCTGAAGAGCTCAGACTCTGGTTAGATAAATCTGACTATTAATATCACAGGTGGAATGAAAATACACAATTCAGAAAATTCAGGGATGGAGTGCTTCTTTTCTCCATTACATATACATGGTTCTTCCTCATTTTAGGGGAATACATACCCAACAAAACTCTTTTTTTTTAGTACGATGCTTCCTTGACCCGTGATAACTAAACAGATCTTTATTTTCTTTTTTTTTAAATTTTTTTAAAAGATTTTATTTATTTATTTGAAAGAGAGAGAAATAGCATGAGAGGGGAGAGAGCCAGAGGAAGAAGCAGGCTCCCCGCCGAGCCGGGAGCCCGATGTGGGACTCGATCCCAGGATTCCGGGATCATGACCTGAGCTGAAGGCAGTCGCTTAACCAACTGAGCTACCCAGGCACCCTAAACAGATCTTTAATATGAGCTATTAACACTGTTGGCAAAAGTGTCCAAACAAAATTTAAAGCATAAACCTTGAGGATAATACATGGCGTATAAGTTAAAATGTTATTTTTTAAGAGAAAAAAAATGAAAATTCAGAACATTTCAATTTCCTCTAAAGGTTTACTATTAAAGATTCTGCATTTCTGCTATCATTAAACCTTTCCAAAGCTGTCCATTTAAGGAGACAAGTCTACTGAAAGCAATCTGAATTGACTTTACTTGGGTAAAAAGACGGACAATCCAAGATGAGTTTGTCTTGTGACATCACTCAGGGTGGTGGCAGAGAGAACTGGGTTTTCCCAGCAGCCCTGCCACTAATGGGTGGTGAGATCTTAAGACACATTCATTTGAATTTTAGTTTTCTCTTGCCTAAAAGATGTGGAAATTGATTTTCAAGATTTCTTCCAAGTTTGAAAGCCCACGGTTCTAAAGAAATTCTCAGGCCCAATTGAAAATTTACTTTAAGCAAAAGCACATAGAATATGTTCAATAAAGACTGCCGAGTGAATAAATAAAAACACTATGAGAAGACACACTGAAAAGTAACAGATGGGGAACATAATTCTAACAAGTTTTAAAGGTGAATTGACTGTGATCACACACACTTGTGCATGTAATATCTTCTGGTTTCCTGTGTGGGAATACCTTCAACAGGCTTTCAATGATACTACATATTTTAGTTCATTTAAAAAGATGGATTTACAGTGACAGACTTCTGTCAAGCTTAAACAGTACAAAATATTAAAAGGCAAAATGAAGGTCTTTCTCTAACCCCAGGCCCTCTTGTATTCCACTTTTACCTTCTGTACAAATGTAAAAGAAAAAAAAAAAAAGTAAAAATCCATATATACCATAGCATAGTACACCTTCTGCTCGGTGTCTTGCTTTTTTCACTGAAAATATATCTTAGACATCTTTGCATATCAACACATAAAACATGACTCCAACAACCTTTTTAATGGCTATATAATATTCCCTTGTCCATATCTTATTTTATTTTATTTTTTTTTAAGATTTTATTTATTTATTTGACAGAGAGAGAGCCAGAGAGACAGAAAGCAAGCACAAGCAGGGGGAATGGCAGGCAGAGCAGAAGTAGGCTCCCTCCTCCCAGCAAGGAGCCTGATGTGGGCTCGATCCCAGGACCCTGGGATCATGACTTGAGCTGAAGGCAGCCACTTAACCAACTGAGCCACCCAGGCACCCCTACATACCTTATTTTATATAACCAGATACTTATTGATAGATTATCTAAGTTTTCAGAATTTTACCAATTCAGACCTGGGGTGACATTGTACTATCATAACCATCTCTGGATACGTGAACATATCCATGTAGAATTAGAATTGCTGAATCAAAGGGAATACACACTTCAAATTTTGATAGCTATTGTCATACTATCCTCTGCAGAGGTCACACCAATTTATACTCCACTGACAATGGATGAGGATCCCAGGCAGAAAAAAGAAATGGATTTGTACCCTGAAACCTGGAGACAGGCAGAATATCTATTCCTTAACTCTTAGCTTTCTAACTACATAGTCTCTGACTTTTATACCCCATGTTGAGGAAAAATTCAGAGTCTTTGAGGACATTTACAATGTAATATTTTCTTTTCCTGTAAGATATCTCAGAAGCCAAAAGACAAAATAAGAAAAAAAAATGTTTATGGAATATTTTTTTTAAAAGATTTTATTTATTTATTTGAGAGAGAGAATGAGATAGAGCGAGCATGAGGGGGGGAGGGTCAGAGGGAGAAGCAGACTCCCTGCTGAGCAGGGAGCCCGATGCGGAACTCGATCCCGGGACTCCAGGATCATGACCTGAGCTGAAGGCAGTCGCTTAACCAACTGAGCCACCCAGGCGCCCTGTTTATGGAATATTAAGAAACTATTTTTTCAAAGGTAAATTTGTAAAATTAGAGTTCATCAGTTCACAGATTAATTTTCCTTAAATAATGGTTTTCATCAGGCTACTTTTTTGCTCATGAATATTTGAGATTATTTTCTCATTAAACGGAAACTCCACTGATTTCTAAAGTCCTCCCTAAACTTGGCCTTAATACCCTTCTGTGGCCTTATTCTGCATTGCTCTCCAAAATGGCCTCTTAATTCTAATTAGACCTATTTCCTCACTGCCCCTCCCAAACAACCCATGCTTCTTCCATCTCTTTGCTCCTATCGTCGCTCTGTTGAGAAAGTTGCCATCGTTTATCCAAACTGATCCATCCTTTAAGGCAGTGGTCTTACAATATATTTCAGAATCATATTGGGGGGTGTGTAGGGGGAGAGTACTAGTTAAAATGCAAATTCCTGGGCTCTAACCCTCATATTCAGATTTACCAATTCTAGAATGGGGCCCAGGAATCTGAATTTTGAACAAACCTCCCAGGTGATTCGGGGTGGTCCCAAGCAGTCTATGATGGCATTTGGAGGAACACTGCCCTCAAGGTCTTCAGGAGTTTTGACTCTTCCGGGGGGTCAATGCTGCTCTTATGACATCTACCAGACTTCATTTCTTCTATTCTGATTTCTAGGTAGCAAAGGTTTTCGTTGCTCTCCCTCCTCCCCCCCGCCCCCACTCACCACAGTGCTTTTTGTAACTAGAACATATCCAGGGGTCTTAATAATTACTTCCTGTTCATTGGGAACTACTTCTTGATTCATTCACCCTAAGGGTGTGGTCTTGGGCAAGTTACTTAACCTCCCAATGCCTCATTCTGTCAGGGTAAATCGTGAATAAATATAGGACCTTCCTCATAGGTTCACTGTGAGGAGTAGAAGAAGAATTATGCTTAATACAGTTTTAGAACAGTTCTCTGCACTTACTAAACATTCAGTAAATATTAGCTATTACTGCCAAATTTTTCATTATCATCATTGTGATTTCAATTCTGAAAATTAAAGGTGTTCTTAAGGTTGTGCTATAAATCACAACAGGCCTAGATGTTATAATTATAATAATAATAATAATAAATTTTATCTCAAATAATCTTTTAAAGGAATAATATTTCTTTATCCATCAAGCTCTAATTGAGTTCTACTTCAATTTTCTACCAGGAAGTGGATATCCTATTGCAGCGCCCTTAAACACTTTTACAGAGATTAGGCAAACAACGGTGAAACAGCAAACAACACTTCTCATGTGATTGCAGAGTATGCTGGTGACTGCTAGGATTATTACCAAGTGCAGATCCTGGACCATGTGCTCTTTTAAATTGAAGGGTAATACACAAAATATTTCAATTATTTAATAAGAACTGAAAGTTAGTTTATTCTAAGAGGTTTAGTTATTTAAAATATTCCCTATGGATGATACGTAATGTCAAAGTCTTATATTTTCTCATTCAGAAATAAGAGTTTTGAACACAAGAAAATAATCAACAAACTGCTATGGACTGAACTGTATCCCTCCCCTCCTCCCCCCAAATTCATATGTTGAAGCTTTAATGTTCAATGTGACTGTATTGGGAGACAGGGCCTTTAGGAGGTAATCATGTTTAAATGAGGTCATAAGGGTGAGGCCCTAATCCAATAGGCTTAGTGTCCTTATAAAAAGAGACACCAAAGAGCTCACTCTCCCTTTCTTCATGCTCA